GGATGTTTGTTGTACACACACAGCCAGCAGCTGATGAGGGTTATTCCATGAGTCTGGCCTTGGGGATATATAGTGGCCCTGCTCTCAGATCTGAAAAGAGAAAACAGACAAGAAAAGGCAGAATTTGAAGTGCCTGAGCTCAGTGTGCTTCTAGAGGTGGTATTTTGGTACAAGAAACAGTTACCAGGCAAGACTATGGAGGCACACGCCTTTAATCCCAACACTGTGGAGTCAGAGGCAGGTGGATCTCTGTGAGTTTGAGGCCAGCCAGGGCTACAGAGCTAGTTCCACAACAGCCAGGGTTATACAACAAAGCTCTGTCCTTTTTTTATATATATAATTTATTTTTATTTTATGTGCATTGGTGTTTTGCCTACATGTATGTCTGTGTGAGAGTATTGGATCCCTTGGAATTGGAATAACAGACAGTTGTGAGCTGCCATGTGGGTGCTGAGAATTGAACCCAGGTCCTCTGGAAGAGCAGTCTTAACCTCAGAGCCATTTCTCCAGCCTCCCAAAACTCCCCCCTGTCAAAAAAAGAAACAATAATCTGCAAAAGTTGGCTTTCAGTAATGCAAAGCCTGAGCGTGGCTTGTTCACACAGCCCACCCACAGGTTCCAGGGAGAAGAACAACCTGTTCCTCACTAGGGAGCATGACAAAGTGGAACTTCTTCCCTGTTCCACGAGTGCTTAGCAGCAGTGCCCAGCATGCAGCAAGAGTGTAGCCACCGGTAGCCGTCATCAGCACTGTTATTTCACCTGTTCCAAGCAGTGAGTGAGCCTTGGTATTTACCGATCTCTGTCTGGAAATTCTTCCCTGAGACAGATGGGTGGGTGGGTGGAAGGACATTCGATCCTACTCTGTTCAGGTGTTGGCTCAGATTTCAGCCCATCGGCAAGGGGTCCTGTCGCCTGATGTAAAACAACATCCACATGTCATGGCCACAGCATCAGAACCCTCACCCACTCTGGCCTACAGTGTGTGCTCACTGCCTGTCTGTCACATAGTAGGTGCTTCACACACACATTTTGTATTAATGAAATAAATGAGCAAAACAGTGTGGAACTTGTTTTATGAAAGACATGGGATAGCATTTTAGGACAATATACTTATACTCTTAATGCTGTGACCCTTTAATACAGTTCCCCATGTTGTGGTGATCCCCAATGATAAAATTATTTCTTGCTACTTCATAACTATAATTTTACTACTTTTATGAATCATAATGTAAATATTAGATATGTGGCCCTGTAAGAAAGGATCATTCAACCCCCGAATGGGTTACAACCCATGAGTTAAGAACCGCTGCTCTACAATAATTTTTTAATCACATAGTACAGTATAGGCTATATTTCTATACTTGAAGCTGTCACTCAGCTGTACCTTCCCTTGAGCTGACATGTCATTGCCCACCATGTTTGTGTTTTGGGGAATCAAAACAGTATTCAGGCTTCTTGACAGTGTCTCTGACCATGTTAGAGGGGAACATCTGTAGCTTCTGTGTTCTGATTTTCAGTGAGCAGTGAGCACATAGCCTGTGTGTGCCTAAAGGTTTATAATTAGGAAACAGGTCAAAGGTACGGTTCTCAAAAGTCCACTTAACAAAATAACGCCCTTTGTTTTTGTTAGGTAATAAAGTGGCCATACCGGCCGCTTATGGGGTCTGTCTTGATCGTGTTTGCCTTTCATGAACTAGACAAGGGCCATCTTCTTACATTCCAAGGAGGTAGATCCAGAAAGAGAACCTTTTTTACCTCCATCCAAGCTGAAACTACACTATGTGGGTGGAATTGCCAGAATGTGTATTTTTTTGTAAGTCCCTTTGGAAGAAGGGTTGGGGGTCTGAATCACTGTCAACACAATCTTTTGTCACTATCAGGCTTGTCCATAAACTGGGACAAAAAATTGTTCTGGGGTAGGCATGTCATCCTGGGATTGAGTTGGGGCTCTGCATAGACCACATAACAAATAGCTGGTGATTTCTACCTGATTTCTGTAATACAAATTGGTATTAATTTATTTACTTACTGTTTCCCAAGACAGTTCAGTTTAAGATTAAATTTTATGCTGGTATGTATTAGAGATAGGTTTTTTTTTGGTTTGTGTTTACCTTTTTAGTGGAATTTTAAATCAGCTTTGATACTGTTGGTATAATGAAGGCTTAATCCCTTCTCTGTTTAGGGGGTTTGGGTTTGTCACCCTTGTATTAAGTGTAGCAGTGAAGCGTTGCTGCCTGTGTTAACTGGCTATCAGTAAATCTGCCTCAGTAATCTTTGTCCAGACTTTCATACTGTGTCTGAACTGTAAAATAAAAACTGTACCCAAATGGAAATTTTAATGTATTTAAATGAAGCTGGAACCATCCTAAACCTCAGAAGATCCCACTCCCCCAGTTTAACTTTTAAATTCCAAAAAAGTGGGTCAGAAGAAATACCCTGCTTTAAATGATTCAGTTTAAAAATGGAAACACATAGGTGTGGTGAGATCTATCTCATTTCCTGTCTGTCTGTACAGACCCCTTTGGTTAGCTAATGTCAAGCTCCATTCTCTGACCTTCGGACAGGCTTTATTTGTACAAGCAAGGTATCACCACATATAGGACTATCTCCATATGAAGTGCAGATTTAAATATGAGGAATTAGATTGGGATTCATATCACTTAAGGGTTTGATCTAAGTAAAATATATTTAATCATAGCTTATAATTTATGTAGTAAAGAGAGGCCTAAATGTTGGAATATCCCAATAGGGGAAATGTTTGCTATGGAATTTAGTAGTATGATAAAGAGTCACTCCAGAACTGCCTTTCTCAATTGATATGATATGATTGATATGCCTAAGGATGTTGTTCTCCGGGGCCTTGATAGCCATTTTTGGGGAGAGAAGTGTTGTGTGCTCGGTGAGTATGTGAAATGTTGTCAGTCTTCGCAGAGCCTTAACACTTTCTGGATTTTTAGGAGAGAGTATAAGTGGGGGCTCTCAGTCTCCAAATTTGACTCATTCTAGGAATTTTATTAGATCAGTTATTTTGAGACAGTCACCCTGTGTAGCCCTAGGTGGATTGGCCCCAATGTGCAGCCATCCGTCTCCTCCGAGTCCTCCAGCTCCTACAGGCCAGGATTGCAAGTGTGCACCACCACACCTGGCTCATGTTTGTCTCCATGAGATAGGGTCTTGCTGTGTACAGAACAAGATGGGAATGTAGAGTAGCCCAAAATGGCCTTTGAACTTGAAATCCTCGTGTTTTAGTGCCGAGACATCCAGCATGTACCTGGCTTGCTTTAGGGATGTATACCTTTGAAAATGCTGCGAATATTTTCAGCAGTAGCAATGAGGGGGTCATTCTCTGGTGTGGGTCAGTTCTTAGGATGTTCTCCCAGCATGCTCAAAGAGTCAGGTGGATTCCAGCACGATGCTAAATTCTTCCCTTAATGAAGTGGTGGTCTCCACATGTGCTGCACAGCGGGATGTTGTCACAAGTGTCACTGTGGCTTGGACTCTGCATTTATCTCCAACCCCAGGTGTGATTCATATGTAGCCAACATCTTCCTTAAGAAGAGAACACTTTCTAGATGAGTGACTGCATTTGGGTGTGGTTCCTGGAACTCAGGGACTGAGCATCCACTCTGAAGAGGTATACCAGAAATCAAGGGGAAGCAATCACCCTATAACTTTAGGAAGACAGAATGTCTGAGTGGATGGTCCCCTTCCTAAGAAGGAAGTACCACATACAAGATTAACCACCTAATTTTAGTTTTGAATCATTCTCTTAAAGACTGAATTTATTTATGTTTTAAAAAAATCACTGGATCATATTTACCTATTACCATCTATGAATATGGTCTCTCATGCTGAGAACTGATGAGCTTTAAGGAGCAGACAGGTCAAGATTCTGCCTTGGAAATCACTTTCATACTCCTGGACCTGCTTTCTTGTATCCTACAAACACAGCTACAGACTGAAAATGGAAATTCCGGTGACATGAGAGACGACAGCTAGTCTTAACACACTGAGTTGAATGATGTCCTGCTAGCAGCAACATTCAAAGCACTCAAGAGTAGGAAAAGTCTCACCAGTGCTTTAAAATCATTCTGCAGGGTCTCACCAGTGCCAGGAGGCAGAAAACAGAAATGAAGGGTGTGATGGCTGAAGACCAGAAATAAAACTTTCATTACTTGCAAGCGAAGTTACACACTTCAAAACTTTAGGAGGGGGGACAACTTAATGTTTAGTAAACTGACAAAATACGAGAGTTCTGATAAAACTTTCATTACTTGCAAGCGAAGTTACACACTTCAAAACTTTAGGGGGCGGGGACATCTTAATGTTTAGTAAACTGACAAAATATGAGAGGTTTCTATGACCCCATAGTTCTTTTACATGTACACATGGTTTGGCAATACAGCATTCCTATGGCTACATATTCTTTGATCGGAGAATGATTGGATTAAATTTCCATCAGCTAGTTTGAGAACCAGGAGAAAGCAGGACATAAAAACTAAAGGACTGAATAACCATGGGGAATGCCATGGAGAAATCCATTACAGTGGCTCTTGAAGCTTCCCTGGGTGGTCCAGCAGCCAGGGCTTCTTTTTGTAGAGCCAGCTGGTGAGATGAAGGTCACCAGTGATTAATCAGGAATGTGATAGAAGTCGAGGAGTCCTCTATGCTCTGTAGTCCCGGAAGAGGCTTCTGTTGATGCTGTTCTTATAGTTCATGCCACAATCCTGCCGTCTCCCTTGAGAGACTGGGAACTCCTCAGTCAGGATCCATTGCCTGAGCCTGTGGTATTTGGTCGTCTGTGAATGTCCAGGCTCTCACTCTGTCTGTTAACTCATGTCTAAAAACCAAGTGCGAAGACAGTTGTTAAGGGGCAGAGTATGTCTGCCTTCTAGTGTCCCGAGGACAGCAGTCTTCACTTGAAATGCACCTTCCCTGTTTCTGATGTGCCTGCACTGCCCTGCTGCTGCTTTGACCAGACTGTCTTCTTTCTCCACAGGTCTCCCCTTGGACTTTGTACAGCTATGAAACCTACATAGTGGGGTGCCACGATGCTTCTCCTGTTGGCCATATGAGGATGAGGAGAAGTTGGCTTTGGAGTGCTGGGATCCTGAGCGATTGCTAAGCACTCGGTGCGCCCAGCCTACCTTCTGGAGAGCCCACAACACAATGAACAAACTGACCTTCCATAACAACAGAGTCATGCAGGACCGCCGCAGTGTTTGCATTTTCCTTCCCAATGATGAGTCCCTGAACATCATCATAAAGTTGGCTTTGGAGTGCTGGGATCCTGAGCGATTGCTAAGCACTCGGTGCGCCCAGCCTACCTTCTGGAGAGCCCACAACACAATGAACAAACTGACCTTCCATAACAACAGAGTCATGCAGGACCGCCGCAGTGTTTGCATTTTCCTTCCCAATGATGAGTCCCTGAACATCATCATAAATGTGAGTAGGTCCACTCCAGGACTATTTCAGGGTGCTGGTCCCTGCCAGACCACGTCCATGTTAGGTAGTTTAGGGTGAAATCTAAATGTGAGTAGGTCCACTCCAGGACTATTTCAGGGTGCTGGTCCCTGCCGGACCACGTCCATGTTAAGTAGTTTAGGATGAAATCATTGAATAATTTTTCAGTTGAATTAATTTACTGGGTTTCTCTGTTTCCTTATCTTTCTGTGTGGTTCAGCCTTGAATGCATTTGGGATCATTTAGAATGCCTTCCACACTTCCACTCAGGTCTAGGGACTACTCCTGATACTGCTGAGCAACAGGACCCCCTCAGATCCCACCAGTAGCCTGTTTGCTCTTTGAATTCCTCTGCTCTTAGTTTCCATATTAGAAAGGGTTCATTCTGGTATTTCTACGGCACGTAAGCCTCTTTCTTAGCTAAAAATTAATGTAATGAGATGGGAACCGAAGACTCTATAGATGGAGGAAGGAAAAACAAATCTGAACATTTTTTTAGCCTTGATTATTGTCTGTCCATTTGTGTTTTAAGTGCTCAGAGTTGTCACCCATGTGTAGCCATTACTGAGTGTCTTACATGCCTCTTGACTGGTTTGATTAGTCAGCCTAGGCAATGTCCAAGGTGAGCTTAAAGGGCTGTAAGTGAGCTGAGAGTACTTCGTTTACCAGGACATTGAGGGCTGGGATACTGTTTTTTAGCTTTTTTTTTTCCTTTTAAAAGTTAAAAGTTAAATTATAATTAACACACTGCAAAGCATAGAAATTAACTTTTAACAGTTAAATTATAATTAACACACTGCAAAGCATAGAAATCTTTCTAAGTGTGCAGCCCAGTGCATATACTGTTAGTATATACACCCATGTAGCCATTGTCCAGCTTAAGATACTAATTTCCGTCTCCTCAGAAAGATCCTGTGTGACACTTCCTTGTCAGTAATCCATTGTCTTCAGCTCTTGCCATCCAAACGATGTGATACATTCTTCTTGTCTCCAGTGCTTTTCACTCAACATTTGGCCCATGAGATTGACACAATAGTAATTGTTTTGTTTTCATTAGAAGATAATATTTCACCAGTGTGGTCATGCCCCATTTAGTTATGCATTCACTGGTGTTGGATACTGTGTCATTTGAAATTCCAGACAAATAATAATAAAGCTGCTATGAACATTTGGAGGGATGGTAGACCTACAATCACAGACACACATTTATCAGAGTAGATAAGTGAATCTCGGAGCACCTCAGTGAGTAAGTAACCTTGGTGGAAACTGCCAGGCAGGTTCATAGTAATCATGAACTGTCATATAATCATAGTCCTGTCAATCTTTGTTTTTTTCTCTTTTTTTCCTTTTTTTTTTTTTTTTTTTTTTTTTTTTTCTTTTTTTTTTTTTTTTTTGAGACAGGGCTTCACAAAGTAGGCCAAGCTGGTCTGGAAATTGCTGTATAGATCAGGCTGGCCTTGATCTCACAGAAATCTGTCTACCTCTGCCTTCCAAGTGCTAGGACTAAAGATATGGGTACACCCAGACCTGTCAACTTGTATATTGCTTCTTTGACTTAACTGCATTCTATTGGAACTGAGGAAAACCTGTCTCAGTTGTTACCCTTTGAATTAGTTTTCTACTTATATGCTAGTATAGTTTTAATATTAATTTCTGTCTAATGGAATAAATAGTTATTCCGGACAGATAAGACATTTAAATAACCTCATTAAAAGTTTAGGCTGCAAGGTTCTGCTTGTAACCATAGACATCTTGGTTTTATTTGAGCAGCCAACAATTTCTTGATTGCTTATGTCACCTACTATATCATTCATATATATAAAATGTGTCCTTTAAATTTTTTAAGCACATGCAGTCCAGGACACACAGCATAAGCTTTGAGGAAACTCCTTCTGCCTTTTTTCTGTCACTTTCCAGTATGCGTGTTGATAGTGTGTGGCGTGTTCCGGATGGGGAAAGTCATAATAGATCTGTCATCGTAAGGACTACTAGGAGGTGGCTACAGTTTCTAAAGAAATTCATTGGTACTGGAGTCTCAAGTGAGGGAAGTAATTTTGGAGAACAGCCTGAAAGACTCCAGGCGGGTTCATAGCATGTTTTATGGTGTCATTCCTAGCATTTTTAAAATGTTCTTCCTACTGTCAACCTTCATATTTTTTTCTTTTGCCTAATTGCAGTCTGATAGAATTAAGCAAAAATTGTCTTAATACGGGGCTGTGGGTTAGTTTTCCCACATATATGCTGCCATGCAGGTCAGTAGCTTTAAAACTTGACTGTCTACTAGAATTATTGGGGGAGGGGCTTGGTGAAAGAATGCTCAGCTCTTTGGGCTTCACCCATGGAGACGCTGATGTAGGTCTAGGGCAGGACACAGGAATTTTGATTTAGCAAAATTCCTCAGCAGGGACCACAGAGCCATGAATGAAATCCTGAGGCAGACAGGAGAACCCATGGCCCAGCCCCATTCTCGAGAGCCCCTCTCACTTACTGGGCTTTGGGCCTGTGACTGAGGCTATTGACATTGGGGACATGGTCTGAACTGTTTACTCTGCGTCTGACTTTTTTTTTGCATCGTTGGGCATTCGTCTTAAGTCTGTTCTTTGTTACTTGGTTTGTTTTCCTCATATATGAAGAGGGGCTATTCTATGCCTCATGTGGGAACATGGCAAGGATTTAAAGACACTCCATCACTTTGTGATGTCTGTCCTCTGAGTTGCTCAATAAGTCAGTCTTTATGGAGTAGTGTTTCTCTTGTCTAGTTCCTTGTCCTGTTTTTCATTTCATTAGGGTGTGCTGCCACTGAAAGCACAATGGATTGTCTGGGCGCCATGCAGGCCCAGAAGATTTCTCACTCCAGAGAACATAGGTCTTCTGCCATGCCCAGGCTCCTCTCCAGCAAGCCTGGGACCTCAAGAAGGATGGGGTTAAGTCTCTTGGGGGCTTTTCCACTGCTAGAAAAACAATCCAGAGCTGCCCAGAACTCCCTTCCCCACAACTGAGAAGGGTGATGTTTGATGTTTGCAGAGCTACCTGTATAGGAGGTAGGGAGTTAATCGTAACAAAAAATGTTTATTGGTGGCCTACCCCTCCCCAAGCAGTGGGGGATGTGGCTCATATACACTTTTTTTTTTTTTTAAGGAAGTTCCTTCCCCCACCCCATGCAGGTATAGTTGACTTCATGTTTTTTGGTTTGTTTTTTTTTTTTAAAGATTTATTTATTTATTTATTTATTATGTAGACAACATTCTGCCTCCATATATGCTTGCAGGCCAGAAGAGGGCACCAGATCTCATTACAGATGGTTGTGAGCCACCATGTGGTTGCTGGGAATTGAACTCAGGACCTCTGGAAGAACAGTCAGTGCTCTTAACCTCTGAGCCATCTCTCCAGCCCCATATTGACTTTCTGCATGTGAAATCAATTTAATGTTTTAGTCTTTTTGAATCACCATGAATTGTATTAGTAGGGGCTATTTTAAATTAATCATCAAGCAAATATAAAATATGGGAACTTAAAAAATAAAATTATGGTGAATGTAAGAGGCAGAAAGTTTTTAGATTGGCAGAAATCACAGAGCCAAGAGCTTGCACCTCCCTTCTGTGGCAAAGGGAACAATTCTTTCTTTCCAGGGAGTCTTTCAAAACACCCTTGCACGGTAACAAACCATTGGCACAGTGAGGACCAAACCCCCTCCCACTTCAAAGTTCCACACAGAGGGTATTTTTAGATGAAGCCCACGCTGTTGAGAACGTAGTGTTTTCTGAAGTTCCCATTGTCCCTGAAGATGAGAGGAATTAGGAAATTTCACAATCAGCTATGTGGCCTTAAAGACTCTACCCTGCAAATACCCAACGCTGGAGATTGTTTTCACAGCAGGTAGCACTTTCAAGCCACATCCTTATTTAATTATAGTTTTTAAACAAGAACACTATACTTACTTGATGATTGTTAAAGAGCTTTAGCAGAAGGCTCCAGATACTTGATTTAAGTAGCGGAACAGTAATAATTAGCTGGGATGCCTGGAAGAGAGGCACGGCCTTATTTAGTCAAGAGTCGCCACATATTTTATTTTATAAATGTTTAGTTTGGAATTTGGAATTCAGCTCCTTGTTGCATTTCATCCTGGCTGCTCCATATCCTGCCAAGCCAACTAAAGTTTAAACACAGTCAAGCTAAGGGTTAAAAGTACCCCAGAGCAGTGTGACATTTTAAGTAAGTCCCAAGTTTATGGAACTTAGCTCAATGTAAGAGTGGCCTGTGAATGTGATCCTTCCTCCTCTTGGCTATCAGTCTGTCTAAGTTTATTTGTAACAGTATAGTTATGACATGAAATACAAATCCAGTGTTTACAGTGAGTGTTGGAAATAAATGGAACTTCTCTAGGGCACAAGCTGTTAGCAAAGTAGCACAAAGGGGTTGGGGGTAGTGACTTCCCAGCAGCCAGTGGGTCTTCCCAGTGTCGAGGTGAGCTTGCATCAGTTCATTGTTCTGAAATTGCTGGATGACAGGACTGGAGACATGGCTCAGCAGCTAGATGCAGTGACTGCTCTTCCAGATCCCGCATGAGAGCTCATCGGGTCCAAGGGATCCGATGCTCTTTTCTGGCCTCTGAGGGCACTTCATGCATGTGAGGCAAAGACCTACATTCAGGCAAAGAACCCAGACACATAAAATCACATTGACAGTATTGCTGGAAGGCACATATAAGCCAAAGTGTCCTCAGGGGTAACTGAGGAAGGGGTCTCTAGGAGAGGTTCTCAAACCTCATTGGGAATCAGATCCTGAATATAAACTGACACTGCCTGTGACAGTTCATCCTTATTGCCACTGTGACAGGATCTAGAGTCACTCAGGAAACTTTGAAACTCGCCTGTGAGGGATTATCTAATTAGGTTAATTGACACAGGAAGACACATCCTGAATTCGGGTGATCGCCTCATGGACTGGGATCCCAGACTGAGTAAAACTGACCAAGTGAGCAGAGCAGCAGCGTTCATGTCTCTGCTGACTGTGGATGCCACGTGACCCCGCCTCAAGCTCCTGCTCACCGCCCCTCCCCCACCCTCATCCCCACTTCCCACAACAATCGAATGTATCTCCTTGTACTACAAGCCAGAATGAGCCCTTCCTCCTTAATTGCTTCTTGTCAAGTATTTTGTCATAGCAGCAAGAAGTAACTAATAGCCACCACAGCTTTCTTCAATTCCTGGTGCTTGGAAGAACTAAACAGGTCCCTCTGGCCTTCAGTGTCTTCTGCCCTTTCCAGTGGGATTTTGCATGTTTTCATTTTCTTAATTTTAGTTAGTGCTGTATAAAAATATGATAAAATCATTCTTGGAATTAATAAAAATTACAATTGGCACCATCATTGACTGTATGCAGATGAAAATCACAAAGGTTGTGTTGCACATGTTTTAACCAGTCTGTAACTTTTAATACATGTAAGTTTTGAAGGTCTGCCTTTGTCACTACTCGCTTACATGATGGAGCGGTTTTGTTTTCTGTCCACACATGCTGGAGTAATAAGCCACACCAAAGGGAGAGCTTGTTGTTTGCAACACTGTGGGTAAATCTGGAGAGCATTATACTAAAGGCTATAAGCTAGGAACAGACTACATGCTCTCATTTGTGTGGAATCTAAAAAAGGCTACCCCATAGAAGCTGAGTGCAAGGTCTGAAGTGGGCAGGGCAGAAAGATGCTGGCCAAAGGATTTCAGGTACAGGAAGAATGAATTCAGGAAACATGTGTGGAATGACAGACGTAACTCATGTACTGGATAGAGTAGATCTTAAGTGTTCTTACCACACACAAAAATAATATGTATCTGAGGCGATACGTTGGTTAATCCATTCTGTAGGGTATACATATGCCAAAGCATTGAATACTATGTAAAAACATACCAAATAAGAAAAAATGTTAAAAGAAAGAACATACTTGCCAAATAAATGTCTTTAGTGGAACGAGCTCTTCTAAGGGACCTTTTTTTATTCTTTTTTTATTCTTTTTTTAAAATTTGAATTAGAAACAAGATTTTTTTTTTTACATGTCAATCCCAGTTCCCACTCCCTCCCCTCCTCCCCTACCACCCTCCCCAACTAAAACCCTACCTTATCACATGTCCTTTCTGCTCCCTAGGGAGGGTGAGGCCTTCCATGGGGGGGAGGGTCATCAGATTCTATCATATCCTTTGGGATAGGGCCTAGGCCCACCTTTCTAAGGGACCTTCTTAAAGGCCCATTTTTCATGCAGGATCTGAGAACCTGATCCATGTGTCGTAGATTTATGAGTCTTTTGCAAGATTCTATTGGTACTGTATTAGCATGCTGTAAATATTGATAGTGAGATCATCACTGAAGCACAGCCACAAGTTATAGTGATAAGCCAGAGGCAGGTTGCTGATGGGAGCATGTCCTGAGAAACTACATTTTTACAAAGTTGTAAAAGTTGCCAATTGTGGCTCACTGTGTGGGCTAAATTTAATTATCTCAAGTATTTTTTTTTCTCCCTCCTACAGGTTAAAATTCTGTGTCATCAGTTGCTGGTCCAGGTGTGTGATCTGCTCAGGTTAAAGGATTGTCACCTGTTTGGTCTCAGTGTTATACAAAGTAAGTCTCAGTCTGTTCTCTGGTATGTTCAGCCAACTGTTGCCCAGGAAATGACATTTTAAATCCTAAAGCCATCAGTGTAAACTGATTGTCAAATACCCATCAACTAATCTTCATTCTTAGTCTAGTATTTATTTTCCAATATCAATATGATGTGTTTTTATATGATTTAGGATTTTTATGATATTTATTACATCAACTTAATATTGATTCCTTCTTATGAATCTAGATATTTATGTATTGCTTCCTTTTTTTGTTTTGTTTCAATGAACCAGGTTTGATTTTTGTTTTGTTATGTTTTATTGTACACGGAGACCAGCTGTAACTGGGAGGAAAGCAGATGTTTTTTGTCATTTATCATTAGATCTGTAATACTATAAGTGATAATGGCTTGTGACATTACAAAACTTAGAACATAGTAAAGCTACCTTTCTTCTGTTTAGATTCTCTTATGGTTAGCAGTGTTACAGTAATGTATTAATTGAATTTTATTTCCTGTTTCTCTTCATGCTCTTCTCCTTTTTCTAGTCATGTTGTGTGATTTTGAAATGCAATCATTTTCTTTCTCCATTATATGAGAAATTTGCAAAGAAGGCTTTCAGATGAGTTGCTGTCTCATGTCCCTTACTTAACACTAGACTCTTGAGACTACCTGCATCCATTTGATAAAAGCTGTCTTGTGCCAGTTTGTATCTGGAAATTTCTCTGCATTCGTTTTCTAAATCCCAGAGTCTTTTAGCATCTCTGCTCATCTTTTTCAAGGAGATTTACTTGGTTTTAATTGTGTTTTCTGTGTTTATGTGGCTAAGCTTTTACTTGAATGGGTTTAAATCTAAAGGATTATGATAGTTTGAGAATCTGGTTTGTGCCATAAATGTTTACATCTGCTAAGTTAGAAAATACATTATGGTCAACAGATAAAGCCAGCTCCCTTTCCTGCAAAATGGGAACTGTGTTCACTTGTCTAGGAATATGGCATAGAGAATACAGAGGACCCTGCAAATCAGCCATTTGCTCCCTGCTTTGTTTCTGTAGTAGTCAGTGCAATGAAAACTGCATTTGTACAGACCTCCATCATCATTCAAGAAAGAATCTCAACCTTCTTAGTGTTGCAACCCTTTAATACAGTTCCTCATGTTGTGGTGACCCCAAACCATAAAATTATTTGGTTGCTACTGCGTAACTGTAATTTTGCTACTGTTCAGAATCTAATGTAAATATCTGTGTTTTCTGATGGTCTTAGGTGATCCCTGTGAAAGGGTCATTAGATCCTCAAAGGGATCATAATCCACAAGTTGAGAACCACTGGTCTAGAAGTAGTAAGATGCCTTACAGACTCCAACTGGCTCTTGGTTTGGTCTCCTGAAAACTAATTCTTCCTTTGCACCTGCAGCCAGACTGTTGATCTCTGTGGTTTAACAAGTCAGTCCAAAAAAACCAGTTCATAGCTCCCTTCAGTTTCCAAGCAGAGCTTTTGAGATGCTCTGTAAAAGAGAGTTCACATTGTGGTGAAAGAGCATTAGAACAGCAGTCGGATGACCTGATTCCAGTTCTGGTTCTACTGCTGACTAGCAGGGAACACTCAGACATGTCACCAGACTTCTCTCATTGTCAAGTTGTTTCCCGTCAGACAGAAACTGCTGTCCACACCAGCTTTGCAAGACAGATGTGTGCTTGAGAGTTTGTCTCACAGGTTTTATTTTGTTGGTGTGCTTTTGGAGTCCCAGCACAGTTGAGCAGGAAGCATAGAGAGTTCCAGAAACCCATGCACAGGCAGGCACAGCTTCCCCACTGTCAGCTCCAACACTGGTAATCAGTGAGCTTACACTGATATTTTATCACCCAGCATCCATCATTTGTGCTTGGGTTCACTCCTGGTATTGGTATCCCACACCTTTGGACAGATGTATGGCATCTGTCAGCCATTGGTGTGTATAGGATGGCTTTACTGTCTCGAAGCCACTCACACCATTTTAGGTTCTCAACTCAAATTTTCCTTGTTGGTAGAATGGCTGGAAAGAATGTAATTCTGGAGTACTTCAAAGATTACAATTTAAAATCTAGCCATTCTAATACTCTTCTCAAAAACCATCTAAAACACCAGGAATCTTAATGTCATCCAAATTCTGTAACTTTTGTTTTAAAATGTTTTGAACTTCCTGCCTTGTAAGAAGACATTAAGGATCAGACCTGAGCCAATATATCATTGGCATTTCCAGACTACTTAGCATTAAAGTGCCGACTTCCTGATAATGAAAGTTCCCACCATGGTTATGTAAGAGATGTTGCTTATCTCTAAGAAATTTCCCTCAAGTGTGCAGAGACAGGAAACAGGCAGGTAGATCACAGATGGAGGAAAACATGTCTCCGGCATTAACACCTGAGGAGATCCTTATTGTCTTCTTACAAGGCAGGAAGTGTGTTACAAAGAATGTTACAGATTTCTAGGACAAGGTATGGGAAGGTGGCACAGATCGCCTGCTTTCATTGGGCCTACTAGTTTCCACATGTTCAGATACCCAGAGTTCTTAAGCCAGACATCTCTGGTCACTCTGTTGAGTGATAGACACATAAAGGTAATTGTAAAATATGCATGTTCTCATGAACTCACAGAGATTACGGCAGCATACATAGGACCTGCACAGGTCTAAGCCATATGGAGTCCCAGTCCTGAAAGGGGGAAATAGTTCCCATCCCTAACCAAGAAACAGTCTCTTAATTAACAACCACTCACAAGGGAAAAAGTAGTTTTCTCCTGTGGCATTTCACTGGGGATACAAATCATATTTAAGGGTAGACCCCATGCCCGACAGTAGATGGCTACTACAAAACGAACTCATTATTTTGGCAGACAGTTTGTCTCATTGCTTTGTTTGGGCAAGTAGTTTTCTCCTGTGGCATTTCACTGGGGATACAAATCATATTTAAGGATAGACCCCATGCCCGACAATAGATGGCTACTACAAAACGAACTCATTATTTTGGCAGTTTGTCTCATTGCTTTGTTTGGGCTTTTTTTTTTTTTTTTAATTTTAACTGGTCTTTTACTTGTATATAGTTTTTAGGAGTTTTATTTGTATCTGTGTTTCTTGTGGTTTTTTTTCTTTTAATTTTAACTGGTCTTTTACTTGTATATAGTTTTTAGGAGTTTTATCTGTATCTGTGTTTTTTTTTCTTTTTTTTAATATTTTGGTTTGTTTTATTTGCATGCTTGCTTTCTAAAGAGAGAAAAAAAGACATGGAATGAAATGGGAGGAGTGGTGTGAAGGATGTAGAGGGAGACGGGAAGGAGGAAACCATGATCTGAATATAGTGTATGAAAGAAATTATTTTCAGTACGAAGTAACATGAAAATATGCGGTCTCACATGACTCGCCATTTTGCTGCTTCTGACAGGAGCTCCAGTCATGCGCACATCAGTCATGTTCAGTCGGTAGAAATGAGAGGCGGGCCACAGCCTTCACTGACCTGCTGCTAGGGTTAAGTGGATCCTCCCTGTCTTTCGTCTTTGGGATGTCTTGTCCCTTCTTCCTTGTTAAGAGGCCTGAAGGGCCATTTATAGCCAGAGTAGCATTATAATCTTTCCCAACGGCATCTTCCAGTTAAACCCAGTCAGTGTTGGTCTAAGGGCTCACATCTTCCTGGAAGGAGTGTGGTGGCTATCCCTTCGTTGTGAAAGTTGTAATGGAACATCCAGGAAAGGTTGCCTTTAGTGGTGGAGGAGAAAAATAGCTTGGGTGGGAGGGAGAGAGGGGCGTAAAGTAAGACTTTGCAAAAGATCGGATGCCAAGGGCTTCTCTGTTCACTTTAAGAGCAATCCCTTGAGGGATTGTTTGGTGGTTTTTTGCAGGACTTTTCTGATAGGATAGATCCCCAAGGCAGAGTCAGTAATGGTTTGTCATTCTGGGACACAGAATGTCTCAGGATGGGAACACAGAGAATGGATGTTTTTAAAGCCAGCTCTTCCAGAAGCAGGTGTCATGTCTGCACTTGGAAGTGAGCTACCATCAATGTTCAGTGTCAAACAGAGAACTGAATGGTGCTGATGCTGGATCAGTGTTTTGCACCTATGAGAAGAGTCTTCTGTGCACTAAACCAAAGTGTATTTTCTAAGGTGCATGTCCACGGGAGTGGGTGCTTGGTGGTGTATAAAGCTCCTGGAAGCTAAGCACACATGGGAAGTAGAAGCCACAGTTCTAAGCATTGTGCACTTAGAATCCTGAGGTCTGTGTTGCAGATATCTAGCTAGTACACCTTGGATTTTTTCCGTGTCTTGAGTTTTCCTAACTCACTACATTTACAAATAATGAGGCTGTGTTTTTGAGTTTTTGCTTTGAATATTTTTTCTTTGAAATTTTCTCTTTAGCATCTTGTCTTTTTTTATGTGCAGATAATGAACACGTATATATGGAGTTGTCACAAAAGCTTTATAAGTATTGTCCAAAAGAATGGAAAAAAGAGGCCAGCAAGGTACGACAATACGAAGTCACTTGGGTGAGATTACATTTATGCACAAAATTCCTTTCTTTAAAAATGTTTATTTTAGCTGTCACACTAGGAGAAAAATCATGAGCAATAACTTCTCCTGTGGAGAATGAAAAAAGGAAATGAATTATGAGTGCTGAAATGTCTTGTGGCTCAGGTGTGAATAGCTGACAGCATAAACCGATAGGTAATAATGTCTCAGTAATAATGGGGTAATGCTCTGAAGTGTAAAGCATGGGAAAGTTATTTGCTTTTCTCCTGTGACAGTGTTGTCAAAACTTGTAGGAGTTTTTAGTCATTTTAAATTTGCTTTTTCACAGTTCTTGCAGTCGAGCCTTTGTTGTTTTATTGTGCTGGCATCTTTATGTAGTAAACATCAGTTCCATTTGAGTGGGGGCGTGGGCACAGGGGGATTGTGTAGTTCCCCCATCATCCCAGTGAGTCGGGAATGAAATCACACTTCTAATCCCAGATTCTCCTGTAGCAGTGCAGGATTCTTGGGCTACAGTGGAAGGCAACTTCAAAGCCAAGCACAGAGTAAAGCACTCCAACATTTAAGTAAACAAGCAGCATATTAGAATGTGGTGTGGAATGCTTAACGAGAGAGCATTTGTAATAGGGAGCAAATGGTCACCACAGGGGACAGAGCTGGGCCAGGAGCTGGATCTCAGCTAGAAATTTCCATGGCATTTATTTTTATCTTCCCTTATGTTCCCATTGGCATCACAGCGAATGAAAATCCAGAGAGGGAGGGCGCCCTGCTTTGCTTTGTAACTTCGTGGTTGGATGTGGACCTAGTGTCCACATGGGACAACTGTGCCTACTACAAGCCCCACATTACAAGCAGATAAAGCCTCTCGGTGTTTGGGATTGTGCTTTGCAAGTGACTTAGTGTGTGTTTGCCTTTGAAGCCTGTACTGGAGATAACTAAACACAGCTCACTGCATGTGTCTCCGTCTCAGGGTATTGACCAGTTTGGGCCTCCCATGATCATCCATTTCCGGGTGCAGTACTATGTGGAGAATGGAAAACTAATCAGGTATGAATACAAAGAACCCGGGAGCCTAAGCCTTGGTTTCCTCCATAGCACTTTTTTCTGACACACACCAAATACATCATGGTGTCCATTGCTTTATTCTGCCTGTGGAATATAAACTCTACAATAGCAGCAGTTTTTTGTTTGCTTGCTTGCTTGCTTGCTTGTTTTTGCACATTCTTAGTGCCTAAAACACAGAGGCACATTTGTTACTGAATAAATATGTTTTGGCTAAATAAATCATAGACTGAAGGTGAAATTGTTAATGTCACTGGCTAACATTTTCATCCACAGTCCCCAAGAAGGAACTGTCACTGTTGTAAAAAGAGATTCCTTAAATATGATTATATTATTTTTGTTTCGTTTGTTTTATTCTTTCAAGACAGAGTTTTTCTGTGTAGCCTGGCTGTCCTGGTTAGACCAGGCTGACCTTGAACTCTGAGATCATTCTGCCTCTGCTCCCCAAAGTGCTGGGATTAAAGGTGTGAGCCACCACCAACTGGCAATTATATTCTTTCCCTGGCAGGACAGGGCCACAAACTCTTAAGCCACCATTTTTACATCAGCTTGGTTTTCACTTGAAACTCTTGGTCATTAGTATCAAAACTAAGAGTTTGAGCTTCCTGTGGAAACTAAGGGTATGTGTTGAGCAGGGCAGGAAACAGTTTCTTTTTCTTGGAGATGGATGTGTGTTCGGCACCATGAGATAAATCAGAATTAACCGGTTTTGAATCTCTTTCTTTGGTGTGGGATTCAATGCTAGAGAACATAAAGAGATCACATTCTTGGCTGACAGAAACTACACGAAATATTAACTTGTTTCCCTTTACTTTTAAACTCTGAGAAACTTCATATGAAAGGAAAAAATATGCTGGGCCAATGTTATGTGAAAAATTAGCACTTGCTATTTTCTGTTATTACCATATGTGAAGTAAGAAGTACTAGTACATAGATACTATTCCTAAAGGCTAAAAACTTCATTAGTTAGCTTCAGTTTATATGAAGTGCTCACCCACTTTACCTTGTAGGATGGGATGCCTGTAAGGAAGGAAAATTTATTACTTGGCCACTAATAAACCCCATCAGGCTAATGAATGTTAACCCTTTATTTCTGTTAACCCCAAAGATGGGAGGAAAAAGACCACCAACCCAAATCATGGCCAAATTAAAGCAAGCTCCTAAAACACAGGGTTACAAGGTAGGCATAACAAGGTATCCATAACAACACAAGGTAGTAATAGGTGGTCGTATAACCTTTTGAAGCAAAGGTAGGGTTGCAACATGGTTATAAACAGCTTTTTGAAACAAAAACAGGATTGCCATTCCTGGATCAGGCAGTATATTGTACCATTCGTAGTTAAGGTTACAGGTGGGGCATAGCCCATCCAATCTCTGAGAAATAAAGGTTTAGTCATAAACAGGAGTAAACCTAATTTGTCCTTGCTATAAGATGGTTTTTAAGCCTAAGATAGAGGCAGGCTGGTTTCTTATCACCCCGCAACAGCTTGTAGTCAGTATTATAAAAGGCAGCACTGAGAAGTGCCCTGTCCGTGGGAAAGGAATTACATAGCTGCTTATTTTTTTAATTTTATTATTTTTATTTCATGTGCATTGATATGTGTATGTGAGAGAGTTGGATCCACTGGAACTCAAGTTACAGACAGATGTGAGCTGCCATGTGGGTGCTGAGAATTGAACCAGGATCTTCTGGAAGAACAGTCAGTGCTCTTAACCACTGCACCATCTTTCCTGCTCCATAGCTGCTTATTTTTAAGCTCTTGGTCTTGGGTAAAATAGACCATTATATTTCTATTATCTACTGATGAGCTGTGACCTCAGGTAAACAGTCTGAAGTAATGAGGCCAGTGACCTCGCCTAAAGTGTGCAAGCCTGTACCCTTAACTGTAAAACTATCCTATTTGCCCACAAAGATTTCTTTAGAGTTGACTAGATGGCCTGTGACCCACACACCCCTGCTACCAATTCCTAGTCATCTGCTCAGTGGAGGCTGAATTTATTAAAGTGTGCAAGCCTGTACCCTTAACTGTAAAACTATCCTATTTGCCCACGAAGATTTCTTTAGAGTTGACTAGATGGCCTGTGACCCACACACCACTGCTACCAATTCCTAGTCATCTGCTCAGTGGAGGCTGAATTTATCTCTGGCTGCAGTGGATTTCAGAGTGTGCACTATTAGTATTTCCTTTTGTGGGGAGCATCGTGGCTGTCATGACATGTGCCTGGGGAAACACTCCATAAAACAGCATCCTCTTCCTGTAAGACAGGGCAGGTTCAAGGAAAGTTCTCGGTCATCTGTCCCCAGCAACAGAACAGTAACAAACCACTAGTGTGTGCTGTTCTCCTCCAAACATTCTAAAGTGCTTTAGAGGGTCTGTATGCACTACGGGAGAGGAGCAGTACAAGGAACATCAAACAGCTTGTCACCCTGGGCGGTATGCACAACACTGATGTGCAGGGGGATAAAAGGAAGTTCAACAGACTACTAGTGCCCAGCTTCTGGTGTGTGCACTCTGTGACACACTTGCCTTATTGGAGTGGAATTCCTCAGACCTCTCGTTCATTGAATAAATCAAAGGCTGTGAACCTCAGGGTGTGTTTTTTGGCACCTGGGCCTTCCAACCCCTGCAGCCTCCTGAGGTGGTGATATGGTCCCAGCTTGGGCCTTCCCCCGTTGGTGAAGTGGGCACAGGGAGCAAAAGCCAAGGGCCTCATTCTGCCAGCAGATGCAGAGTGAGATTTGGGTTCTGTTGACATGTGTCAGTACCATTCCACCCTAATGTGACCGCTGTTTTCCTATGTTTTCCTAGTGACCGAGTTGCAAGATACTATTATTACTGGCACCTGAAGAAACAAGTCCTGCACTCTCAGTGCGTGCTCAGAGAGGAGGCCTACTTCCTGCTGGCCGCCTTTGCACTGCAGGCTGATCTTGGGAACTTCAAAAGGAACAAGCACCGTGGAAAGTACTTTGAGCCAGAGGCTTACTTCCCAGCATGGGTAGGTGCTGTCTAGGTTCTCCATCCTGTCCATTCAGACGGACAGCTTTAAGAGATGAGCCTGTGTGTTCTGGGGTAGTGAAACAGTTCCCGATGCCCAAGTACAGTACGGGAGCTTGGCCCACTGCATGTCTTTGCTAGTCTGCTCGTAGCTAAGGACGCTCACTGCCCATACACAGTCCCCTGTTGGGATGCACATGGCAGTGACACTCTTAATCCTCCTGGTGAAATGCAGGAGGACAAAAATGATTACTTCTCAAGAGATGAGGTCATTCACAGTTTTAATGGGCTGAGAAAACAACTTTTGGCTCTGACCTCTGTCCTTCCCTGCCAGGCAAGGAGCCACCCCCTTCTGTCGGTGAGAAGAAAGATGTAGGTCAACAGGCTCCCTAGCCTGTTGGGTTGTCATTCTTTCCTGCTGGTGACTCTGTCCCTCTCTTCTGTGCCCTCTGCTCTGGCTCAGGCTCAGGCTCACTCTCCTGCAGTAGATCGATGTTCACAGAACACTGGGTCACCTGTGTCCACAAAGCGGAGCCACCTGGCTTGCTTCCCGTCTCAGGAAAGCTTGGAAAGTCAAAGATAGGCCAAGTGTGTTTTATTTTTCTGGCTTCTTCCCTCCCGTGCACAATCCTCAGCCCACTTCCGCCTGCCTGCTTCTCCTCAGCCATGCCCAGGCTGTCCTTTGTTTGCCTGGGTTAGTAGACACTGGCCTCTCTTTTTCCTGAGTTTTTCTGCTGCACTTGGCTCTTAGCCATTTTCACCAAGGAGATTGCATCCCAATGGCTGCCTTTTATGACCATCCTCACAATACATGGTACATGAGATAACTGCGCAATCCTATGTACCACAAACTCAGAGCACCCCGAACCACACTCCTCTTTCACCGGTTTCCACAGAAGCAGCCTTTCCTCCATATTCCTGGTATCAGAGTGCCGGACATTATCATCGGCCCAGTTGTCCAAAGCCTGGCTGGCCTCACGTGAACTCTGCTTGGCACTCTGCCTCCTCCACCTCCTACCCTGCTCAGTCCCGAGTTTTGCTACTGTTGATTTCCTTTCATGCCCACTGCATCCCCTCCCTTCAGCGGTCCCTCCGTTTGAGTCCCAGATCTCAACACACTGTTGCTGAGCTGTCCTTGCTTCAGTGTTCCTCAGCTTGTATCTGAGAGGATGGAGCGTCTATCTTAAACAAGCCTGCAACAACTCCCCAGTTGCCTGTGGTATGAAGTCCCAGTATGAAACTCCAGGATCTGTTTCCCACTGCCCCCTCCAGCTTTTCTTGGTCACTTGTCCTGCACCTTAAACTACCTGTTCTGACCATATCCAGCTAGTTAGTGACTTACCGATGTGTCTGCATAGCTACTGAGATGTTCCACACTTCTGGATTCTCCTCTTTTTCTTCTTTGGTTGGTTAGTTGGATGGCTGATTTGTGTTTTTGCAACAGGCTTTCACTAAATAGCCTGGCTTTCCTGGAACTCTCCATGTAGACCAGGCTGGTTTGGCACTCCCTGAAATTCTCCTGCCTCTTCCTCCTGAGTGCTGGCATGAAAGGCATGCCTGTGCAGTGCCACAGCCAACAGGGGCCTCTCTTCATAGTTCCTGTTGCATGTGAAGCCTCTCTCCTTGTTTGTTTGAGCTGACTGGCCATCTGGAGATCAGCTCCTGCGGGGTAGGTGTTCCTGCTGGGGTAGCCAGCACTGTGCCTTGTGTCCCCCTGCTCTGTGCACAAGAAGGTCCCATATATAAGTACCATTCATCTGTCCCCAGATAGTCTGTTTACTGTGTGTCCTAACAACTGTAGTATTTCTTTGTATGTTTTAAGGGACAAGGATGGCTGTAGCCATTTCTGGTTTTGATTGACATTCGGCATTTGGTTATTAAAGAGAAAGTGAGATACGGCCCCTTTGATTGACATTCGGCATTTGGTTATTAAAGAGAAAGTGAGATACGGCCCGGCCCCACTTGCTGTTGGTAGTAGGCTTTGCATTCTCCAGCTGTTGTCAGATACCCAAGCTTGGTCATTTCAGTCATAGCTTCCATAGTATGTCATAGTCTCAGTGGCCAAGGTACCAGTTTTCTCCTCCTTGAGATCATCCAGATACCCACTTGAGTGTCCTTACAAATAGTGTAGCCATGTGTTTGGGGCCTGGCAAAGACAAGCTTGGTGTGCTGATGGAGATGATCTCCATACAGAAGGAGCCAGAGAGCAGAGGCTGTAACTCCAGCAAAACTTGATAATGGCCCTATCATTTCCCATGTATAACTTTTTGTTTTGTGTTGTTTTGAGACAGAGTTTCTCTATGTAGCCCTGGCTGCCCTGCAACTCTCTCTGTAGACCAGGCTGGCCTCAGATCCACCTTCCTCAGCCTCCCAAGTGCTGGGATTAAAGGTGTGTCCTATATAATTCTTTGAGATACTCAAAGTAAGAAACAAATGCCATATCTGAAAAGCCTTGTTAAAACTAAAAACTCATTGGAGTTTTCATTCTCACTATTTGAAACCCTTCCTTTTGCTCATGTTGCTGCTACCTTTTCATCTTTTCAAATCCTTGTGAAATCTGTAACACGAATAATAAAAGACCCAGAGAGAGATACTGGGGTTCAAGCTTCAAGCTGAAGATCAGAGAAGCAAAGCAGCCAGCCACTACCTCAGGCTGAAAGGGCTGTCCTTTCCTCAGTGTGGCTGAAGAATAAATCTCTCACGAGCCCTTTTTGCTTCTTCCTTTTATAACTCCCTAGTGCTGGGATTAAAGGCATGTGATCCCAAGTGCTGAGATCACCGTTGTGTGAGCTATTTCTCTTTTAGACTGGATCAATTTCATGTTGTTTAGTGTGGCCTTGAACTAACAGAGATTCATCTATTTGTCTCTTAAGTCCTGGGATTAAAGATGTGTTCCACCACTGCTTGGCTCTATGGCTAGCTAGTATGACTGCTGGGATTAAAGGTGTGTATCACCATTGCCTGGCTCTATGGCTTGTGGCTAGCTTTGTTTTCTGCATCCTCAGGCAGGCTTTAATAAACCGTAAGTAATATATCACCACAGAAATAAGCGAGGGCATTCTCAGCACCTCTTAGCCTGCAGCTGCTGGGTACTGTGGGTCTTTGACACTTTATAGCTTGGGTGACACCATCTGATCTAAGCCTCAGCAAATCACAATGGGCATTGAGTTGAAATGGTTCCCTCATGCATTTTCAAGGAGAATTCCTGGCCTCTTGTGTGAAAACCAAAAGTGTTCCAAAGAATCCTGCCTGATCCTTTACCTTCCCCAGATGAACGTTTATAGTCTTCTGTTCTGTGTGTGTGACTGAGGGAATGATGGGAGCCAAAACCTGCAGGTGTTCTGACGTAGGTGATTTTTATAGTACCCATCATTTTGGGAGTATAATCCATGAAGTGTGTGAAGTTACACCAGTTTGTGTGGGATTTTCCCCCACTTTGGTGGCTTTTAAAACCAAGAGAATGTTTTTCTCATTGAGGTTTTTCTTCTTCTACCAAATGGACTTACAGTTCATAGTGTTAGCCGATTCCACCCAGTAGCACAAGGTAGTAAAAATAGGATAAAATTAGAATTTTCTATTGGAAATTAGCCAGTTTATGTGGCCTATTTTAGCTTCTCATCCTTCTGTCATTTGGGGGGGCGGTGTTCCAACAGGTTGTTTCCAAGAGGGGGAAGGAGTACATCCTGAAGCACATTCCAAACATGCACAAAGACCAGTTTGCACTGACGGCCTCCGAGGCGCATCTGAAATACATCAAAGAGGCAGTTCGACTGGATGACGTTGCCATCCATTACTACAGGCTATACAAGGTAGGAGAGCCCTAGGCCCGGCCTCTGGGATATGCTCCTTCCTGAACGGGATTTCAGCTCACCTTAGAACTGCCATAAAAAGAGCTTTTCTTGGCTTCCACCGGTCAGGCCGGTGGCCATCCTGATCTAGACTGGAAGCAGGATGGAGGATGCCTTAAATGTTTGCCTTAGAACTGCCATAAAAAGAGCTTTTCTTGGCTTCCACCGGTCAGGCCAGTGGCCATCCTGATCTAGACTGGAAGCAGGATGGAGGATTCCTTAAATGTTTATAGCAGTGCAGTAACATACAGTTACAGATCATGAGTCTGGCTCCCCAGTACTTAACGCTGTAAGTCTTTTTCTGCTTTGAAGGAGTTACCCTTGCAACCCAGTTGGTGAATATTATTTTAGTATTCCTCTGGCGAAGCCATGCCCTCATTCGCCATTGTTCATCCTTTAATTACAGGAGTGTCCCCACAGCAACCAGTGCAGACAGAGCACTGTATTCATTTCTTCCTTCAGACCCCACCACTCTGTAAGAAGTGCTCATGTTATAGGTCAGGAAACTTGAGGCTTAAGGAAGTTAAATAATTCACTAAGGTTGAAAAACCAAGTGGCAGAATTTGGCTTCAGCCCAGGCTCCTGGATGACAAAGTCTGTATATCAGTCAAGCGCCATTCGCACTCGGGCCCCCTTATTCTCTTTTGCAGCTCATGTATCCCCAGCCCTATTTTTCTGCCCTGAAATGGGCCACACATTCACAGATCATTGGGGGCTGAAGCATCTTCTTGACTTCTCCTCCCTGCTTCCCCTCCTTCCCTATCCTTAGCAGTGCTATCCTTGACTAGAACTGTATTCTGCTAAGTACTCAAGGTATAATTACAAACCCAGTGAGATGGAGTTGTTAAAACATAGTCAACTGTGAGATTGAATCCCAGTTTGGCTCTTTACTCTGTGACCCTAGGCAAGCATTTAACGTCTCTGTGCTTCAGATGTCCCATAGCTTAAAGGACACTAGAACCTACCTACTCCTTAGGACTGCAGCCTAAAGGAATTGATGAGGGAACCGTGTTTAAATAGTGCGTGTCACATGTCAAGCATGATGTTCAGTGAGCTATCTCATTGATATGTTTGCTGTCCCTATCCCTATCATACCCTTTGTGATGAGATTAGTATAACTGGGTGTGGGGGGGAGGGATGTTTGTTCATATTGCTGGGTAGTTTTCCCAGCTGGTTCCAAAACTCAGCATACTCTCCCTGCCTTGCTCTGGCTCTCACCATCCTAGGAAGGCATATGGAGTTCCTTAAGATCTGTCTAAATTCCTAAAGGGCTGACTCACTTTTCCTTAGAGGTATCTTCTTGACACCTCATTTTACATGAGAAAATTCCAGTGAGTGGCATTTGGGACAATCTGCTCATATATTGAAGTGCATTAGAAGTATAAATGATACATTGGACAGACTGTGGCCTTGGAATGAGCTATCAGTTAGAGGCCCTGGGGATCCTGGGCAACTGCACTGGTCACGGGCCATCTGTTGAGTAAGAATGACACTGTGCCCTGTGAAGGCCAGAGGGACCCATGCAGTAAGAGGCCTGAAATAACGAGGCAGGGCACCTGTGACCTTAGAAGCGTTGAGACAGGTGGTTTTTTTTTTTTTTTTTTTTTTTTTTTTTGTCTTATTTGCTGGGGAACCATGCTAGGTTAAAGAATCCCAATAAAGTAGTCTTGGGGAGGGCGGGTATTTGTTTAGTATATGATTCTGTGTGGTGTAGAAAATGCCTTGTCTGCTTTACAAAGACATTTGACAGAAAGCTGTAACTGATAGCTCCTGTTTGGAGAATCAAGCAGCAGCCATTAAATCTGCTCCATTAGGGGCAGTTTACAAAAGGGAAAAGGCAGAGCAGACAGCGTTTGGGAAAAAACGGCTTCATGGCTGTTTTCTCCATACACTCCCAGGCATGCGTGCAGCATTGCTTTGGACCCATTCTTATTTGAGAAAGCATGGGTACAACCTGGGGAGGGAACTGAGGCTGTGTGCTGGTGGAACCTGACACTGCACGTTCCTTTCTTGGCATAAAAATGGATTAGCTGGGAAGAAATAATCCAAGCTAGTCACAAGCCAGTTTCTTCTCTATATTCCAAGCAAAAACATGTTTTCTAATACTTCTTGTGTTACTGAGAAAAATGGCCTTAAACTTGGTAAGATCTAGGGGCTGGAGAGATGGCGTAGTGGTTTGGAGCACTAGTTCTCTTTAAGAGGTTAGTGGCTCACAGCCATCCTTAACTTCAGTTCCAGAACATCCAACTCCCTCTTTCAGCCTCCGCCAGCCCTAGGTACACATGTGGTTGGTGCACAATACCCATGCATATAAAATAAATCAAAAATGTTTTAAATTTAAATATTTGACAATGTTCATTTATTGTTTTGAGATACCTTGTAAAGAAAATGTTTAGTAGTAACTTTTAAAGCTTCATGCCTTACTCATTACACTTAAGTCCTTAAAGATTTGCCCAATCTGAGCACATTTTTAATTCTAGCATTCTTTTCCTGGTAGTTAAAATGGCTTAAGTTTGACAGTTTGCACACATAGTAGAATGTCTATCCTCTCAGCAGATATTTGCAGATTAGCAATAGAAATCTTTTGCTGGAATGCCTTAAGTGTTTGGTCACTTGTGTCTGCTTTTGGCTTCAGGGGTAGGGAGCTAGGGGAGTTAACCAATTTGAAACCTGTAACCCTGTCAGATATGCGTTGTACTGTAACTAGACCATGGGATTCTAACATCCTCATGAAGGTAGAAGGTGAAAATGATCAAAAGGTAGGAAGGCAGCAAGAAATGCCTTGCTGCTGAAGTTCTCAGCAACATAAGTACTTAGAATATTCTCAGAAGTGGATGTTGTGTATACAGTGCTGAACACTAAAACCTGGAAACCTAAGGAGTCAGAAATAAAGAGTGTAATTGCTTTAATAAATACTTGAGATTTTCTTAAGTCTTGCAGAAAACCAAGGACGTGGAAAGATTTGAGCAGTTATTTTAAGTTAAGAAAACAAAAACAAAACCCTTCTAATTCTGAAAAGTGTTTTTTTGTTTCTTCATTGCTCAATTGTTTATTGTACAAGGAAAATTGTTTCTCATAAAACTTTATTCCTTCAGGATAAAAGGGAAGTTGAAGCTTCACTGACTCTGGGATTGACCATGCGGGGAATACAGATTTTTCAGGTTTGTAAATGGGGGGGGAGGGGGGTAATCAAATGGTATTGAGCAGGTCTTACTACAGAGAATGCTTGTGTGACCCTCCTATAGGCTCAGCCCTCATTTCCTGTCTGTCAGCACAGGGGTAGGTGATGTACGTCAGGGATGGAGTGACTCCACCTGCCTTGACAGTAGTCACCCTTAACAGAGACTTGCAGGGCAGAAGACCAGCCCAGTCTCAGCATTCCAGAGCCTCACTGTCCAAAAGTTGCTCTTTGAGTCTCATGGATTATCAGTGTTCTTCTCTCCTATCATAGAAAGCTCCTACCCAATGCTTCTATGTCCGTTACAGTTTTCTGATACACAATGTCCCATAAGTGGGTAGGGACTGTCTCCCTCCTACAGGTAGGACAGTGCTATCCTTTAGCCTTACATCAGGGACTGGAAGGAAGTAGCTCTCTTAGAAAGATGGCTTATCTTTAATCCAGGCAAAATACCCAGTTATGGAAGTATCAGCCCCTTGGTTGCCAAGTGTCTGGGAATCTTTTGGACTGCCTGTTTAAATTCAGGGATAGACCAAAGGGTAAGTTGCCTTTGGAGGGGCAGCCATGCAGTCCACAGGATTGATCATCTTAATTACTGTCTGCCCTTATCCAATAAGGGTTGAGGACTCTTTCAGATTTTAATCACTGAATCTTAGTTTACTATGAAATAAGACAGTTTTAGGATGTCTGTTGTGTTTCCTTTTAACGCCTATATGCTGAAATTCTTTCCACAGAATCTAGAAGAAGAGAAACAATTGCTGTATGATTTCCCCTGGACAAATGTTGGGAAGTTGGTGTTTGTGGTAAGTGTGAAGTAACTAAGAAAAGAGGGGTTGGGAAGAGAAAAAGAAGTCTTGTAGGTGGTTTTTGAGAAGGGGGGGGGTCATTTTGAAAAATGGTGTGTCCAAGAGCAGAAGTAGCCAGGTTTTTTGAATGGGGTTGGGACTGGTTGGTTGTTTTGTTTTCTTTTTAAATCAAAGCTAGGGCTGGGTGAAATGACTCAGCACAGAGGGCTTGCAGCCAAATTTAACCACCTAAGTTGAATCCCTGGGACCCACCAGGTGGAAGGGGAAGACCTAGATCCCACAGATTGTCCTCTCACCCACACAGTGGCTTGTACCTCTCACGACCTACACAAAATAAATGTTTAAAAGGTTCTTTCTTCCTTTTTCTTTTTTGGTTTTTTGAGACAGGGTTTCTCTGTGGCTTTGGAGGCTGTCCTGGAACTAGCTCTTGTAGACCAGGCTGGTCTCAAACTCACAGAGATCCGCCTGCCTCTGCCTCCCAAGTGATGTGACTAAAGGCATGTGCCACCACTGCCCAGCTAAAAGTTAAAAGTAAAAAAGCTGACAATATTTTGCTTTCTTAAAGTATTATCATAACCAGAGTTATTTATGTCAGAAGCAAATTAAAATAAAAGAATTTAATCTGTGTATCAGTGTCTGCCATAGTGCCTTAAGTAAATTGTATTGCAGGGAAATTGTATTGAAGGGAAAATACAAGATGACTCCACCAAATGGAATTATATTTAAAAGTCCACAACAGAGGAGTTGTTGGCACACGGAGTAAATGACTCCGAATGTGGGCTGACTGTTGGCCTAGGAAGTTACTTAGTTCTAGTGAAGAATGCAAAGTGAAATTTAAAAAGGTGTTTCCGTTAATGCCAGACTATTTAGCATTGGAATGGCCATTTTCAGTAGTCCACCATAAGTAATGGGGAAAGCACTGAGGATGATATAGGTTCTATGAGACCAAATTCTTGACGCTTTCACCTTGTCTCTACTCCACCAGCCATGTTCAGCATTCCAAGAATTACAGTTACTGTTGTTTGTGTCTGTTTGGAGGTCACTAAAATCCATAATTTTACTGAGCTCTGAAGCAGTTGAGAAAAGTAGACTAGGAAAAGCTGTAGTTAATGATGTGTAGACACACATTCCTCCGGGTAGACCAGAAGGCCTATGCAGATAGAGGGCCTTGAGGGGCCAGTCAGAAGGTCTGAGTCTACATTGCCTTAATTCCATGAGCACCGTCTGCTCTGGCTCACTCATGTGTTAAGTGGAGCTTTCTCTGCCCACTCTCACTGGTGCTCTCATGGGTGGCCCTTTTCCAGAACTGTTTGAAAATCATAACCCTATTTTCCCGCTCCATGGCCCAGGATCAATAGTAATAAAATGCATTCATGAAATTAAGACCCTTTAGGGTCCTGTGGTCGGTGACTCCTGAAACTCCCCCATATCACCCTGAGTTAGGGTCTTGTTGAAGATGGCAGGTTTCTCCGCCTCCTTCCCCTTCCCCAAGGGGTTTTTGGATTCAGCATGGACAGACACCAGGAATCCATTTCACAGGCTTCCCAGCCCTGCCTACATGTGTGACCTTGAGCAAGTGACTCAGTTTCTCTCTACCTTGGCTTCCTTCTCAGATGGTGGTAGTCTGCTCTTCATTATACACTCTTTGTGTGGATTAAATGAATTGATGTGTTTAGCACTCACTAAATGTCAGTTATTGCAATCCAAGCATTGGAGTCCAGTAAATTCAAGAGCCAATGGTTTAAAAAAATAAACACGATCTATATGTGAGCTACAGTCCTCTGATGCTTTGCTCCAGCTCCACCTGGATTCATCTGGAAGGATCTCTTCTGCTGGGCCAAAGAAGATGAACACACCCCACCTGTCCCACTGTCCAGGTTTCCCAGAGACCTTGGGTTTGGTATTCTTTGTCCTTCGACAACTCTGAAGGGAAAAGGGAAACAAAGATTTGTCCCTCAGAGAACTGTCAGTTCAGCTTCACACATCTGTAAGAATCTTAGTTTAAGAGTAAAAGGGACTTTGGCAATTCAGAGAGTTTCCTGCCATAATTTACTTTGTGCTTTCCCTCCACAGGGCAAGAAGTTTGAGATTTTGCCCGATGGCCTTCCCTCTGCCAGGAAGCTGGTCTATTACACAGGGTGTCCCACACGCTCCCGGCATCTCCTGCAGCTGTTGAGCAATAGCCACCGCCTGTACATGAACCTGCAGCCGGTCCTGCGCCACCTCCGCAAGCTGGAGGAGAACGAAGGTGCGACGGGTCAGGTGGTGGTGTGGTCCACATGGGGAAAGCAAGGGCTGCCTTGCCCCACTGGCCTCTTACTCTCCCCACCAGGAATGTGAATTTTTAAACACCGGCAGAGTGGGATTTTTAGAGATGGAGACTAGAAATTCAGAGGTCCAAGCAGCTCTCCAGCCTCATCTATTTAGAGTTTCTAGCCCCTGGCTTGAAAATCTTGCAAAGGGCTAGGCTGGAACCCTTTTGCATCAGTGCTGAGTGCACCAGGCCAACTGGCCTTGCTGTCTGTAGGAAGCTGCAGTTCTTTCCAACATGGAACTTTCCTTAGGCCCAAGTCAGTGAAGATAGGTCACTGCTTCTCTGATTGACAGCAGGGCGACCCTCAAGATGACGCTGTAATAATAAAATGGAGAAGGCCTTTTCCACCCAGGGAGTTTGCCCACAGCCCTGTGGGGGCTTTGAAGAGATGCAGTGGACCTGAACAGTATGTTCGAGGCCCTAGCTCTGTTCCTAAGAAGAAGGCAGGCTGAAAATGTTGGGCCCTCTGGTAGCCAACTTCAATTTAGCAGTTTCTATCTTTGTCCTCAGTTATGGTACCCCGGGGCTCCTCTACTTAGTAAATACCAGCTTCTCATCCCCAAGTGCTGTTTTGTGTGTTGCTGAGAATCAATTTCAGTTTGTTCCACAAAGTCCTATTGTGGTCACTGTCACAGTAGTCAGATTAGACATGGAATGTCTGCCTGGGCCTCAGGACACAGTGGTTCGTGCTTTAGCTCTATACATGAAACAAGTGCTGATCCCAGTGCTCCAGTGGAAAGGGACAAGGACCTGTCCTCCCTCTAACAAAGCAGCCTTAAAGAAGACATGTGTCTTCTCTAAAGCCAGGTGTGGCCAGATGTGTGGAGTTTCCTTAAATCTACAATGATGAGAGCGTGAATCACTCCCTACCGTCTGCCACTGTGACTCTATCAGGTGTACCGGCCTCTGCTGCAGGCTGCCCCTTCTCCCATAAGCCTAACAAATGCATCATCTCTGGGCTAGTGTGAATATTAAGAGGATCCACTTAGGGACAAAGCACCAAGACCTGTGAGAAAACAGGTGACTCAACTGGCTCTAGAGCCCATGATTTTCCAAATGGGCCCCATTCCTAAGGCCACTGTGGCGCCTTAAGGGGTTCATCTAATCGCATCAGCTCTCAGCCCAAAGCATTTTAGTAATGTGAAAGACCTTGAGGGGAGTCCTTGAGAGTCTGACAGATCTAGGGCCCTTTCCCTGCAGAGATAAGGTAACGTTGCAAAGGATGCTGAGCTCTAGGAGGCCAGGACACCATCTCCTTCACGTGTCGGCACTTAAGTGATCAAATGTCTCACTCAGTCCATTCTGCTGCCAGAACAGAGCATCCCAGGCTGGTGATGCATAGACTAGGCATCTGCCAGAGACTTCCTCGTGGATAATCTGGAAGAGCAAGGAGCAGGTACAGGATACTAGAGGAGACTCCCACAGAAACATTTGTCCATGAATAAGGACAGAGCCCTCACAGACTGGTCACATCTAAATAGCCCCACATCCTACACTGTCATAACACTAACGAAATCTCAGCCTGAGTTTGAGAGGGGACATTCGGAGCACAATGGGGGAGTGAGGAAATGATAAAGGTGTATGTTGCATCTTGTATTTGGTTGAGTTTAAATGGCAGTATTCTTACAAAAAAAAAAAATATGCTTAGTGTTTTTGTTTGTTTGTTTTTCCTGTTTAGAGGTGCCTTCGGATCTGAAGAAATCCTCACACCACATTTCTGTGAGCTAGCTTTGATACAAATTCACTAATCCACATGTAAGGGCTTTATCATTTTAACCAGAAAAGCCCATTTTGGCATTAGCTGAGCATAAAAAGAAGGGTTTCCTTAAATTCCAGTTCTACATACCTTTTAAGACTCTGTTTCACCATTTCTATAGAAGCAGTCACAAGATGGAGTTGGGAGAACGAAAATATGCCTGTGTCATTAAAAACATCATCTAGCCAGACAATGGTAGCCCACGCTTTTAATCCCAGCTCTTGTGTAGCAGAGGCAGGCCAATCTCTGTGAATTCCCGAACAGCCAGGGCTATTACACAGAGAAACATGTTTTGGAAAAAAAAAAAAAAATGAAAAAACCATCACCTATGGTTACTAGAACATGTTCTTAGGTCCCAGATCAAGAAGTCACACTTAGCACATTTTATTCCAAAACATAGTGTGAAAACCTCTGTTCCCCAGGCTTACTCTGTAGAAGGCATGGTGTTCTGATGATCTGGCCACGGGCTCTCATGATCAGAAGGGGGCAAAGGACCATGGGCTGCATCCACCAGGCCTCCTTTCTTTCTCTCGTCACCCATTACCTCCAGAGAGCTGGTGGGGGTACAGGTTCAAGTCTGTGTGCAGACAGAAGAACTGCAAGTGTTTCTGCTTAGCCAAGAAGCAAGACAAGTATGTCCATTAACAGGCCCCCCGAGATCCCAATTAGGCTGCTAATCTAAAATTACATCAATTTAATGTTCCCCAAATGTACTCTGTCCTTAACAGAGTCTACTGTGCTTCTTTTTCCTCAGTATTAAGACAAGAGAGCTAACTGTTTCTTTTAAATGTTTCTCATCTGAAACATAAGAACTCTGCCTTGATCACGGCCCTTAGTTCAGCTGTGGCTTTGTAACTCCATGTATGTTTAGCTTAGTGTTGCTAAGAGAACTTCCTCAATTCTGGCTTTCCAGTGTCTGTCTTTGTCTGCATCAACCAACAACACTAATCTGTTCAATGTGAGGATTTTTACCAAAAACCACCTGGTGTGGCACCAAACCATTAGTGAGGACTATGGTAGATGATGCCTCACTTTTTGGCCAAACTGGAGAAAAACCAGTCTTGGATTACTTGAAAAGCTAAGTTTGAGAATCTTTGAAAGAAATTTTTTGAATAGCTTTGTCTTGTTGGGTTTAGCAACTGAAGGTAACAGGAGACCAAATTGAACAAATGGACACACAAAATGAACAGCAGTTAGCATATTGAATAACTATTCACTGAATGTTTCTAGAATCATCTGTGAGGACCAGACTTTGATATTTAACATGATGTTATCTGCCAGCTTTGCAAAAACGCAGAATCCCATAGTGGCTGTCTCAGCAGTGTCACATCGCTCTGCAAGGTGTTAGGTGTTCTCAGTCGCTGAACTTGTATGATAGCTGTTTGCAGACAGGAAGTAAGTGGCATGCCCTGACACTCTGAAGAGCCCACTTCTCTGGTGTTTGAAGCTTCATAGCTGGCCAGTCGCTGAACTTGTATGATAGCTGTTTGCAGACAGGAAGTAAGTGGCATGTCCTGACACTCTGAAGAGCCCACTTCTCTGGTGTTTGAAGCTTCATAACTGGCCGTTTTAAAGTCTCCCCTCGAGGGACTGTTACAGTGATGTATTCCTTGTATAGTTCTCCTACATCAAGCTCCAGTTCCCAGAATTCCTCAGTCACTAGGTTCTGAGAGGCTGCCCTTGGTCTCGGCTTGGCATTCTCTCCTGCCTTGGTGGAGTATGCACTGAGCTGTATTCTCCCACACAGAGAAAAAGCAGTACCGGGAATCCTACATCAGCGACAACCTGGACCTTGACATGGACCAGCTGGAAAAGCGATCCCGTGCCAGCGGAAGCAGCGCCGGCAGCGTGAAGCATAAGCGCTTATCCCGCCACTCCACGGCCAGCCACAGCAGCTCCCACACCTCGGGCATCGAAGCCGACACTAAGCCCCGGGACCCAGGGCCAGAAGACAGCTGTTCAGGCAGCGCCATGCACCGCAAGCTGAAGACCTGCAGCTCCATGACTAGCCATGGCAGCTCCCACACCTCAGGGGTGGAGAGCGGCGGCAAAGAGCGCCTGGAAGAGGACTCTCAGGATGATGGTAACTTCCGTTGCTGCAGCTTTTCCCACGTTGGTCCAGTAGAGTTAGAATCTGGTTAGTGTCTAAGTAATGGTGATAGAGAAGTTTTGCCGTCTTCCCAGTAACCTGAGTGAGTTGCATGTGTCTATCAGAGACCTTTGCAGCCTCAGGGTTAGCAGCTTTAATGAAGTAGAGCCCATGTGTCTTGTGTTTCTTCCTCTTAAAAAAAAAAAAAATGCATCCTGTATATACCATTAACTCCCAAAGTGTTTTCTTGAGTGTTCCCCACGTCATCAGAGCTATAGGGAATCTAAAAGAAGTACAGAACCTAGCTGCTAAGAAATGGCTCTCCGTTGAGAGAAGGCAACAGGTCCCAGCCTCTGTCAGCCAGATTTAGCATCTGTGTGCTTCTTTTAAGCTTGTTTGTATTTCACATGAGATATCTATAGCATCTGGGATTGATTGAAAAAGAAACAAGAAACTATTGACTCTTGCACATAATGTATTAGGCTCCTGTATACTTCATGTGGCTCCACAGCAGCCGCTCGCTGTGGGACGCTCAGGTGGCATGGGTCCGCAGTCCTTGCCCTCAGGCTAATGACCTGTCAGCATCAGTTAGCCACAGGTCACTGCAGCATGGCTCCACAGCTTCCCCCCTCCCTTAAAGAGCAGAGTGATTGATGGCAGATCGTGGCACAAGAGGCTATGGCATACAGCAATCCTTCAAAACAAGCACACCATACTGCGACTTGTGCCTAGACTTTCCTACTGCAGGGTTGTGTTCTCAGTTTGTTCACAAATGTGAGTTTTTACCTAGCTGCCCTCACAGTGTAGTGTGGTTGTGGGTTGTGGTCTTCATTTTCCTTGGGGTCATTAAATGTTTTCTCCCCTATTCCTGTGTCAGAAATAGAGATGCTGGTTGATGACCCCACGGACCTGGAGCCCATGACAGAGGAAGTCAGCCCTGACGTGTGCATCTACATCACAGAGGACATGCTCCTGTCAAGGAAGCTGAATGGACACTCCGGTGAGCTCTTAACAGCCAGCTGTTTCCTCCAGAAGCCCATAAACATGTTCCTTAGTAGATAGGAGGGTGGTGCCAATGCTCAGTCAACCAAAGAGAAAAGCCACTTCAGGTCACTCGACCACAGGGCCAGGTGCCTTCTGTGGAAGAGCAGAAGAGAGATGGGTACCAGGAAGGAACATTAGCATCTTTTACCCAGGCTATGGACCACAAATTGCTGTGTTGTACGCTGACCGGCTTTCTTTTCTTTTCTTTTCTTTCTTTCTCTTTCTTTCTTTCTTTCTTTCTTTCTTCCTTTCTTTCTCTCTCCTACCTCGAATTCTTGAGAATTAGAGAACCACATGGCCTTAGAAGGAACTTCGGTTACCCTTCAGTCTGGTCTCTTCCCTTTTGCACATGAGAAAAATAAGATTAAAGAGACAAATGCCCATGACTAGAAACAGAAGTCAGGCCTCCAGATTTGGTTTGTGTCCCCCAGTCTGCAAGAAAAAGAGTCAAACTGGTGTTATTTTTATAGATAGACATTCTTTTCTTGTTTTTTGGTTGGTTGATTTTTTGAGACAGGGTTGTTCTATATAGCCCTGGCTGTCCTGGAACTCATTCTGTAGACCAGACTGGCCTTGAACTCACAGAGGTAGACATTTCTTGAATTGGATATTTGCATGTATTCTTCTAGAAAACATGCCTTCACTGTTGGTGCTAGGGTTGTATAATACTCTGTAATGCATGTTTCCACCATGTGAAGTCAGCAGTGTGAGTTTGTTTTAAACCTCTGTGTGCCTCTATCATGTGTCACTAATTAGTCTCCTCTGTTCCTTGGGTTTAAGACTTAGGGAGCCAGCATTGTAAAAGAGCCATGGATTCTTATTCTCCAACCACTCTCAGCTTTGATCAAATGAGAGGCTCCCCTTCCACCTCTCTGAGTGGCTAATACCAGCTGTCGGAGGGGAACTAGACAGACACACTGTCACTGTCATCCTGCCTCTTACTGTACCAGAACAATTCATTGCAGAATTCCATTTGCTCACCCAACCCAACTACACTTGTAGATGCTCACCCTAAGCTGTGCAGACCTCCATCCTCTCCCTCCCAGCCCAGATTCATGATGCTAGGCCAGCCTTGACTTTTCCTGTCCATTCTCTTTATTATAAATATTGAATTGTCTCTTTATTATACTAAATGTAAATCTTCAGCTAAATGTATGCATATAATAAGTGCACAAGAAGTGCTGCACATTTGTTTGTTTAAAAAAAAAAAAATTGAAGTAGTATACACCAAAACGCCTATGAAAGAATACCTGGGCCATTGACAGGAGCTTCATATTCGTAGGTCTCTGCATTCACTTTTTAGGAGATTATTAATTTTGTGATTTTGAGTAGAAATAAAATTTAAATAAGATGACTGTTAATAATATTTAATATACCTTTTTCTATGTTTTTAGTAGTGAAAAACAACGAAGAGTTGAATTGTCCGATCACTAGACATTGGAATATTAGCTTTTACATGAGATTTTTCAAAAGATACTATGCAGAATTCAAAAGTTAGGCAAGGAAAGTACAAATTATGTAAAAATGATATAACTGGAACTGTTTATATAGAACAGTTGGGGCCAGAACAGTTGGGGCCACAGTTGCTCTCAGTTTCTCCTTGCGTCACCCCGGTTTTCCAGTTTCTCTGCCACATGAGTATTGCTTTGGATCTGATCTGATTGAGTGCTGATGAGGCAGCCCTGTTTGACTCTGATTCCGCCCCCCCTCCCCCAGTGGTGGACATGAGCTTGGAAGAGAGTGTTCAGAGACACAGGAGCCTAGGACATTACCAGAGACCCCACACAGAATCATACCACATGCCAAGTGGTGCATAAGCCCTTGGGTCCGGTGGGATCCATTCAAAGGTTCTCACTAGCACCCCAAGCATGAGCATCGCCCGTGTATAAGCCCAAATGGCTTCATGTTCTGGGCTCACTGAACTGTTTACCAAGCCCTCTGTGTTTACAAGGTGCATACTGGGCTCCGTAGGCTGCTGGCAGTAGCTAAGCAAGTCTCTGGTATGGGTGAGGGTACATGTCCCTCTGAAGTCATTATCTCTATGCCTCTACTGCTGGTCCTGGCTTGTTTCAGTGGTGTTTGGTCCAACACCCAGCACGGGTTGGTAATTTTAGCCTGTCAAACATTTTTGGAGAACGCATCCCTCACATGTTAAAAGTCAGAGAGGCACGAATATCATCCTTAGATTTCTGGTTCTGAAAATGAGGTTTCCTTGAGGCACGGAGGCAATTAAGGACTGTGCTGATCTCCGAGAGCCATCTCCACCTTAATCTCTTCCCACTGGGATCTGCCGAGGGGGCTGTGGTCATAGTGACCTGTTGGCCAGCGGGAACCCCTGACCCTTTTTGTCCGTTACTGTTTAACCATCATTAAAATGCTAGTTGAGTAGCAGCCCTTGTTTGTAAAAGGAAGCTCATGAGATGTGGGGAGGCTTGAGAATTGGCCAGGATATACCGCCAGCTAATTATCTGGGCAGGTTCCAGCCCCAGCCCATCTGATTGCAGAGCCCAGCATCCTCACACCTAATATCCACATAGAACCAGAGCTATAAGATTGCATTAGTGCTCCACACTGATACATGGAGAGGAGAAGGGCGACATGGAGACGAGGTAAAGACCTCCTTAATACCTAAGGCCTCCATCTCGCCTTACAAACAGCTTACTCCTGGACCTCCCCACCTTAGCCAACCCTTACTCATCACCCTCAGCTTCCTACTAAAGAGTGGGTGCCACCAGCTGTGAGCTACTGAGAAGTCACCACTAGAGTCCTCAGTAATGATCACAGTTGGTCTTGTCAGAAAATACGGAGGAGTTTCATTGTTGTTTTTTGTTTGTTTGTTTGTTTGTTCTGTTTTACCTCAGGGTTAATTGTGAAAGAAATCAGTTCTTCCACCTCCAGCTCTTCAGAAACGGTTGTTAAGCTTCGTGGACAGAGCACCGACTCTCTTCCACAGGTACTGGGGGATTGAAACCTTTTATATTAGCAACTGGAGTTACTGACATGCTGTCCTAGTTAGGATTTCTCTTGCTGTGAAGGGGCACCTTGACCACAGCAACTCTTATAAAGGAAAACATTTCATTAAGGCTAGCTTACCATTCATTGTCAGCATGACGGGAAAGCATGGCAGCACACAGGCCGACATGGTAGTGGAGAGGAGGAGCCGAGAGTTCTTTATCTTGATCCACAGGGAGCAGGAAATGAACTGTGGGCCACACTGGGCATAGCTTGAGTATATAAGACCTCAAAACCCAGCTCCACAGTGACATACTTTCTCCCACGAGGCCACACCTCCTAATAGTGTCACTTTCTATGGGCCAAGCCTTCACATACATGAGTCTATGGGAGCCATTTTTTTTTTAAAGATTTTATTTATTTATTGTATGCAACATGCTGCCTCCATGTATATCTGCATGCCAGATCTCATTACGGATGGCTGTGAGCCACCATGTGGTTTCTGGGAATTGAACTCAGGACCTCTGGAAGAGCAGCCAGTGCTCTTAACCTCTGAGCCATCTCTCCAGCCAGTGGGGGCCATTTCTATACAAACCACTGCACATGCTTACATAGGACTGCAATTCATACAAATGAGCAAAAAAAAAAAAAAAACAACCAGAAGGAAACAAGTTATGACCAGTTACATATATCCTCGCCGTATTCTGAATTTATTTTTCATCTCACGTGCTGGTTCCACTTATTTTGGGGTTTTATTTGGATAATTATGTACTTTGTTGCACACTCCTTTTAGGTGTTGGCCTCTGGTGGGCAGGCTTCTAGTTAATTGTGTGCATGCACCCTAGAGGGGGTGTTTGTATTGTGTTGGGGTTGACTGGACATCACAGGTATCACAACTGAACAGCAAATGCCAAACCTATAGCTCTGGGCCACTTGTGTGCCTTGAGGGTTTGTGGCAATAACCAAATAACTCCATGTCTGAGGTCCTTTTAAGACCTAGGAAGACTACATCAAGTTTAAGGGGCCAGCCGGGTGTTGGTGGCGCATGCCTTTAATACCAGCACTCGGGAAGTAGAAGCAGGCGGATCTCTGTGAGTTTGAGGCCAGCCTGGTCTCCAGAGCGACTGCCAGAATAGGCTCCAGAGCTATACAGAGAAACCCTTTCTTGAAAAACCAAAAAAAAAAAAAAAAAAAAAAAAAAAAAAAAAAAAAATTAAGGGGCCATTCTATATAGCAGTGTCACTCAAATATTATACTTTATAGCAAAATGTGCCCCTGGAATGTTTGTGTCCAGCAAAGTGGTGTCTTTTCCCAACAAGTTGTTCCTTGTGGGGCCAAACAGCAAACTTAGACTAGCTAGTTTCTTTACATCACCCAGTAAGTATCTCCCATTTGTGTTATTATCTGAGCCAGTCTTTAACTATTTTCCACCAGGACCACTTGGGATAATGAATTCAAAAAGCCTGCCACCTATTGGTAGCACTTGGAAGGACAGGACCTCTCTATGTGGCCAGGACTGCTGCTTTTTATTCTTCATTTCAAAAATTATTTTTTATCTGTGTGCATGCATGTATCTGGAGGCCGGAAGAGAGTGTCGGATGCCCAGGGGCTGGAATTACACACGGTTGTGAGCCACTATTGTGGGTGCTGGGAACTGAACCCGGGTTTTGTGCAAGAGCAGTAACAACTAAGCTGGCTCTGCAGCCCAATTTCCACCGAGCCTTTGGCAGCAATAATGCTTTATATTCTGGACTCTTTCAAAAACTTGCTTCTTCAAGCTGTGTTTCTTGAGTGATAATTGCTTTTCCATTCCTTATTCAAATATTAATAGACCCAAGCAAGAAGGGTGTTAGCAAGTTAAACTGCCCTATCTTGATGGAAAAAAGAAAGAAAAGCAATATTTTTATCTTTATAGCCTTATTTTGCAGTAACTGCTGGATTTCTTAAATGCTAGGAGTAGTAGTTGACCACCTGTCTTTGTGTTGGCTATATACACTGGGGAGGAACACTACCCAGCTTGTACCAGCTGAGAGCTTAGGCAGAACAGGTACATTGATATACTCAGTAAAAGTCACTTCCCCAAGAAGCCGCAGGTTGGAAAGCACTTTGTAACATGAAAGGACTACTAGACATTTTATGACTTTGCATCAGCTCTGTCTGCTGGCCAAAGACATTACCTTTCCAAGTACTCCGCATTGTTGCATTTTCTCACCTTCCCTTTTCTTGCAGACAATATGCCGAAAACCAAAGACTTCCACCGATCGACATAGCCTGAGCCTTGACGACATCAGACTGTACCAGAAAGACTTCCTGCGCATCGCAGGCCTGTGTCAGGACACTGCTCAGAGTTACACTTTCGGGTGTGGACATGAACTGGATGAGGATGGCCTCTACTGCAATAGCTGCTTGGCTCAGCAGTGCGTCAACATCCAAGATGCTTTCCCGGTTAAAAGAACCAGCAAATACTTTTCTCTGGACCTCACTCATGATGAGGTCCCAGAGTTCGTTGTGTAAGTTCCACCTGCGGGCAGCCCTGCGGGCAGTCGCTGTCTGCTGGAGGCTGTGGAGTCCGAGGTTCTTTACATATTATTTGTGCCATATTTTTTCACCCCAAACTTAGCTCTTTCTTTATAATATCCATGATGGAAACAAAAGCCTTGGGACAATGCACTTTAAGTATTATGCAGAGGTAAAAGATACACAGAATGTAAAAAGACAAGTGCGCCCGGATGTTTATTGACCCTTCGGGAAGAAGTGTGCTTTATAGTTTACCCAGCTTCCAGACTGTTAGGTTGTGGTGTGTGTGTGTGTTCATCTCTTGTTTTCTAGCTCAAATACATGTTTATCACGTGGAAGATGTCAGGCATATCTGTTTGCTTGTGAATTTTTTTTCTAGCCACTCCCTCATGGAGTGCTTGCGGTTTGAGGGAGGACAGAGGGAAGTTCTCGCTTCTTTTACTGAGAGCCGTTCTTAGTCCGTAGCCATTGCTGCCCCATAGAGGTTGGCCCAAAATGAACTCTGATGGTGGAAGTCTATGGTTCTAGCCAAAGATGTGTATGTAACGGAAGTGCAACTCAGAGCCCAGAAGACGTGTGCTGGGACTCCTTTACACCCTGACAGTGCCACGCCCACTGCTCTGTTCTTCCAGGAAGCTCTAGGGTTCACCTGTGTTCATGACATGGTGCATTTTGTGGAGTTTACAAAGCTGATATATGTTAAAAACAATGGAAATGTCTTAGAAAAAGTTTGTTTGGTGGTATTTTCTTTGTTGTGTTTTTAATGATGGCAAACAAATGGCAATGCTAGTTTCTGCTTTAAAAAGATACCCTAACTGTATGTATATGTTATACATACATAGTTACATGGGACTATATGTGTTTATATGTGTTTAAAGCTGACTCTTCATTTGGACTTCCATGTATGCCTTGCACAGATAGAATTCCTTGTTGAATGTTGAGGATACGTTACAGAAAGAATGGTAGCCACAGACAATCAGTTGATAAATGTAGAGTTAAGAGTGACTTTCCTTGTGTGCCTTTGGCCAAGATTCTCAACCCTGATTGCATAAGACTTATCTGGGGAGCTTTTCAAACAAGCCTGGGTCCAACCCCGGGCCAACTTAAATCAGTCTCTTGTGGGTAGGGCCCAGGTAAAATTGTCTTTTCTTGTAAAGTTAACCAGGTAGAAGTAGTGCACAGTAGAATTGGAGCCCACTGATCCAAGAGTGTCTTTTTATTAGTTTTGAAATAGAAGTCTGCAGAGGATATTAGTGATTGTGAATGGGCCATTTTTAAGACAGTTACTGCCCTGCTGCTGTTACAGTGTCTAATGAAAGCAACCAGGAGAATGAGTTTATCAACTTGATATGCAGTGAAAATGTTGCTCGCACTTCAGGAGAGAACTTCATAGCACAATGTCTTTCTAAGGGATGTTTTTAATGATTTAGTATTTTACAGCATTTGTTTACCATATTTTGATACTCCATTTTTGCTATCTGCCAGGTTTTATTAAAAAACAAAAACTATGTATTATTTTCTAAAGAAACTCATATTTTTGTACAAAATTATGTTTTCAAGTAACGAAGAAATAGATTTAGGGTACAGCAGAACATAGGCAGTGTTCCCTGTGGATGGGAGTCAGTGTTACAGAACTGGCGGCAGCCACAAGCCCGCCCCACCATGCTGCCCTCCTGTGTGGGCACAGTTTCAACCAGAATCTCACCCAGTAGCTCTCACCTGACCCTTTACAAAGAAGAAAAAACGTTCTGTGGTCATGACATTATTTTGCTTTTGTGGAATGCTTTTAGAACAACCAAAGTTTCTGATACCAGAATGTAACTCAGTCTCCTTGCGGAAGGATGAAAGTTGAAGGGATGACTTAATGACTTCTTTTGCTTATGAGTCATTGCATAACCTCACCACTTTTTCTTAGAGGCTTAGGGGCCAGACCCTGGTGAAGTTGGCACTCTCAAGAACCCAGATTGCCATGTTGTGTGTTTGCACAGCCCTCAGCATCATTTGCAAATACAAAGATTAAAAAATTGCTTAATTGAGCAGGTATGCTCTATACTGTTTTCCTCTCTGCTCCAGAATCCAGTCTCCAGGGTTCTGCCAGTGGCATTGCTTTTCATCACTCTCCTTCGGCTGGAATTTGGGAATGAATAGCCTTACGGATTTTCAAAGATGAAACCTGCTAGGGAACATTTTTAACTCTCCGATTCATGGTAGAATTGTGCAAAGATATGTATGTGAAAATCCACTTTGAATAATTGACATTTTTGTATTGGGAAATCGTTTTTAAAAATAAAGGAAAAGAAAAGTATACAGCTGTTATTTATGCTGCATTTGTTAACATGTCCGTTGCTGGTTAATACACCGGTTTGGTCTATGTCACTGCTCCACGTCATCTGCATTTGTATTTGCAACAGTGAGCTTTATATCTAAGTAAGCTGTAAATAATCCTTTCTGTGAAAGGATCCTCATGTTGGGATGATACTGAAATATGTTTAAAAAAAACTTGCATTATTTTGTAATTATTTCTTATAGGTGTTTCATGGTAAGATCAGCAGTCAATAAAGTTAACTTTTTGGCCTTTAAGGTGTCTGTTATTATTAGACTCCTCAGTTAAGTAAGAACCAGGAAGAAGTGCTTGTGTGCTTTCTTTGTGTTCTTCTGTCCCATAATAGAGGATATTTAAGACAACCTTGTGGTGATTGATGGTGAGACATGATGCTGAGTTCTGTGGTACTCAGATTAGAACTGCACACGTTAATCCTCATGCTTGTGAGACAGTGATTACTGCCAGCCTAGGATGAATCAAGGTTTCAGGGGCTTTTCCAGATAGTTGTGGCAAAGTCACACACTGCTGTCTCATCAGGCTAAAAGGGCATCTAGGTATTATGTGTGTACATGTGCCTGTGTAGAAGTCAGATGACAACTTGGAGAAATTGGTTCTTCCATCATGTGGGTTCTGGGAATTGAGCTCAGGTTGTCGGGCTCAGCAGTAAGTACCTTTATCCACTAAGTCATCTCCCTAGACCTAAAAGGGTTAACTTTAAAAAAAAAAGTTTTTAATTAAAGCAATAACTTTCACATAGTTATTTAAAACTGTCACAGTTGTTTTTAAGTGGTTGCATTCACAAGGTTGAAGGCCCTGAGGCATAAAGGGAAGGAGCCAGGAGCTGCATCTAGAGATGACCTCTGCAAAGCCTAGCTCACCCTCAAAGACCCCTCTGCTCCAGTTTTCTTGGCTACAGAGAGCCAGTAATAACTCAAAGGACTGTTTGAGAAATTAAATAAGGTAATAAGATACCATTAGTGAATAGGGTGAGAGATAAGAGTTTTCAGAACTTCAAACAGGCATTTAACTCTTAAGAATAGTCCTTCAGAAGCCTAGAATCTAAAATAAGAGGTTGGATGGGTGGGGGAGTGTGTGTGTGTAACATTAAGGTTTGCAGTTAGGGCCCCAAGCATGCTAGCTAGCAAGCAGTATACCACTGGGCTGTATCCCGACTTCTTTTTACTTTTGTGTGGTGTTTTTATGTGTGCACAAATGCATGTGTAGGCCCAAAGTAAACATTGACTTTCTTAATCTCTCTCTGCTTTACTGAGGCAGTCTCATGCTGAACCTGGAAGTCACTAACAGCTAGTCTAGCTAGCCAAACTGCCTAGTTCCTGTCCCTGCCTCCCAAGTGCTGGGATTACAGGTGGCCACCACACCTCCCTAACATTTATGTGACTTCTGGGAACCCAAACTCCAGTCCTCATGTTTGCAAAGCAAATGTTTTATCCATTGAGCCACCTCCCCAGTCTCCCCAGTCTTTTTATTTTTTTTTTTCAGGCAGGATCTTACTAAGTTGCTTGGGCTGTCTTTAAACTCATGATCCTCCTGTCTCCGCCAATAATGAATTATAGGACTGTATCATCAGGCCTAGCTAAAACCAGAACATTGCAGTGGGGTGTTATTCATGAATGTTGCAGAGTACCTGATAAATTGAAGTATGTTTGCTGTGGAATAATCCTTCTGTACGCTGTGACTATATGATGCTATGATTGGTTTAGTAAACAAGCTAACTGGCTAATAGCTGAACAGGATAAAGTTAGGTGGGAAAGCCAAACTGAGGATGATGGGATGAGGAAGGGCAGAGTCGGGAATCGCCAGCCAGATGGAGAACGAGTATAATCTTCAAGCCGTTCAAGGAATTGTCACCCTCATTTCACCACAGAAGAAACAGCCAATCTTGCTTAAGACTCTAAACCTAGTGAATGGTACAATGGCATTTAAACTTTTTTAATTTAAATGAGTAATTTTGTCTGCATGAATATATGAGTACCATGTGAAGCCTAAAGCCCCCAAAGGCCAGAGGAAGATGTCGATCCCCTGGAGCTGGTGTTACAGGTGAGCAGGTGTTAGCATGTGGACTCCAGGTACTGAAGTCCAATCAAGAGCAGCAACTGCTCTCAACTGCTGAACCATCTCTCCAGCTCCATGAATCAGAGTTTTAAACCCAAATCTATACAGAAACTTTCCTATTGTACATACCAAACTAACCAATGCCCTTAGAGAAAACAGACACTAATAGAGAAGAAACACATTTTGGGAGTGAAATTGATATTAACTAATTAAGGGATTTTTTTTTTTTGGCAGCCAATACTCCAGGTATATTCGAGGCTTATACAGGTATTGCCTTGGCATAACAGCAGTGAAGGCTTGGGCATGAGGAGTGGGAAAGCAGGGACATTTTTGGGAAAAGACTATGCTTGAATAGGGGCTTTCCGACAGGATGAGGCTGGCCAAAGGCTCAAAAATCACAAAGCAGTGGCCTTCTGGGGCCGTGTGAGGACTTCCAGGGACCTGTTGTCTTCAGTAGTTAGTTAACTCTTCTGCCTAGCCATTAAAGGTGCAAAAAGAAAACATTGTGTTTTGTTTTGATTTGTTTTTTTTCCTCAATGGAAGGAGTCACTGAAGGCTAGTGTAAAAGGAAGAAGGTATGTATTGGTTTCAGGTAAACATCTGGGTGGTGCTTGCAGATGGTTAGCGATGGGAAGCAAGACTAGAGAGGAAGGCCAGAGTCTGAACAGGATGTGGCAGTGGGATAGAATCAAGGGGCTGTTAACACGTCATCTTCTCCCCCATTAAATACTAGAGAGCAGGCAATTGTGCACTTGGCCAAAGCCTCGGGAAGATGACAGTTATCTACTACTATGTATTATTTGTGACATGTACACTGTGTGAATACTTTACTTGTTAAAATTAGTCCCAATGGCTACCATTTCCCCACTGTCCTCAACATCAGCTGCTCATTACAAAGACCTGTAGAGCATAAGCCAGCCCATGACCCAGGGTTAGCCTAGGGCATCTGGTCACTTTCATCCAGGGTGGTTATGCAGGTACAACTAACATGCACAAGGATTGGGCCTGTTGTCCAAAGCGGGACCTGAGCAATATGGACCAGCCAGGCTACTGCCCCTAAACTCCCATAAGCCTTGCTTGAGATGGACTAGGTCTCCAGGGCATCCAAGTATATTGCATTTCATGAGAATGGCATTCCTTTGTCAATACTACTGCTAGAGGGACTGAAGTTCAGATGAGCCAATAGGCTCACTGTGTCAGGACATCTGAACAGATCCACCCTTGCTAGGGGAGAGTGTTAACTGAGTATGAGGGTGGGGACCAGGGAGTACTGTCAAATGTTTTTAAATCCCCAGCTACTGTTTTATTTGCTTCATCATTTCTCAGATGCTTTATGTACATTGATCCCCAAGCAGCAGATAATGAAAGTAAGCTACTCCACCTAGCCCTTTGATTCTTAAGACACGCATGTAGAGTCAACAGAGGAACGTGACTTCTGAAAAGTCCTGTTCAAATTCCCTGAGCCATTGTAGGTGACAAAGTTAAATACTCTCAAGAGATTAATCGAATTCTATAAACATGGTAGAGCTATAATTAACCAACTCATTAAATGGGGTGGGTGTTTACCCATCTGGTGTCAACTGTAATCAGCTGAGGTCTCCTCCATGCATTGCCGTCATTACTGCAAGAGGTTGATTTTGTTGGAACAGACAGCTCTCAGCTGGGAAAGAAATTGTGTTCCAAGTTTGCTTCTAAATTGATTGTCTGATACTTAGAATACACATCCCAACTTCCCTTACTAGCCTGCAAATGCCTGTTTCACCCAGCAGAGAAATTATTAGAGTGGGGTTTTTTGTTTTTGTTTTTGTTTTTGTTTTGTTGGTTTTGGTTTTTTTTTTTTGGGTTTTTTTTTTTTTTTTTTTTTTTTTGCCTTGTACATTAGTAGCCATCTGTTAAAGAAGGCAGATGGAGTGACACCCCCGCCCCGGCCCAAGCAGATGCAAGGATGACGGCAGACCCTGCAAGGCAAGAGTGAAATCTCAGGTTTTACTTCTCATAGTTCCTCCGTATTCAACATATTAAATAGCATCAGGTAAGCCAGGCTGGATGAAGCACTTCAAACCCTGTTAATCTTGGAACTGAAGAATGTTCCCACTGTCCCCATCTACACCCTAGCACCCCACCCTCCAAGTTCAGAGCAGTGCTTGAAGATCTTCTGGCATCATAGAAGAATGGTCTAGAAAATATCATCTGATCCATAGAGGTGAAAGGAAGGGTTCAGAGCTGCCCAGGATCTTAGGATTCTATCCCTGAATTGTCTCGGGGTAGGAGAAGCTTTACAGAAAAACTAAGGAACTTATGTGAAGGCTTTTAAATTCTGTAGCATCAATATGAACAGGTGGGATGATTAATTTTCAATTTAACTGGATGAATAAAAGCCCTGGGCACTAGTGAGACACACCCTTTAATGTCCCTTCGAGGACTTTCCCAGAGGCAGTTAGCTGAAGAAGGGAGAGACATACCTTGAATGCAGGTGACATCACCCTGTGGACCCAGTCCAAGACTGAATACAAAGGGGGACTTCTCAGCACTCACATTCATCCACTGACTCCAAATGCCTGTGTTAAGAATCAAGGGGTTTCCCCACCTGTCAGAAGGAAACAAGCGTTCCTCAGTGGCCACAGGCAGACCCTGGTCCCACTGTCATTCAGCTCAGGATGGATTGTATCCCCAGAGTTATGAGCCCAAATAAACCTCTCCCAAGTGGTTCATGTCACATCCGGTCACAGCAATGAGGAAAGAAATGGACACTATAGGTAAGATAAGGTAAGTGCAGTGGGGGGATTTAATAGAAGGCCAAAATAAGTTGATACACTGTTTTCCTAAAGTATAAGGCTGCAATAATGTGTGTTATTTTCCATCAGCTCCAACCACAGTGAATGTTGTCAGCCATTATGGAGTGATGAAGGCTGGCATTCCCGTCTAACCTTAAATAACTTTAAAATATGTGTAAACTGTTTTAGATATTGGACGATTGGCTGTGGAGTAAATGTCAGATATGGGAAACAGGCATCATTTTCATCAGTTCAGTCCCTAGAGAGCTTCCAGGCCACAACAGGGGGATGGCACCCAGTAGAGCCAGGGTCCTCTCAAATGGGAAAGGCAGGGTGAGAAGAGAGCTAAACTGAAGTGGCCAGTGCTAACAAAGCTGAGTACTGAGTGGAGAAGACAGAACTGAGGACTA